GCAGTTGAGTCCCGGGGTCGGCGGCAGGGGCGGCAGCCCTTAAATAATCTATACAATTTGTCCTCCAGAAGTTCTTGCAACCTCCCCATCCAGAACAAACACCTTCCAAACTTCACCCACTGCGCACGTCCGGTTCCGAGGAAACAGCCTGCACAGCGCTGCAAGCAAGTGGTCAACACCATGTTGGATCCCGATTCGTTCATTGTAGACTATAGTATTTGTTTGAAGCGGGGGATCCCTTTGACTAATCAGGATCCTGCCCTCCCGTGCTTTCCAAGTGGCGAAGGGCAATCCAAGGTCAGGGTTGATCATGGCGGCCACCACCTGATGACGTTGGCTGCCACGATACGGCGGACGTCACAAATTCCAAAGGCCTTTGACCGGAGATCCCGGTCGAAGCGTTTGACACGGTGAACGTGGCGGGACGGGGCGTTTTTTGGGGCCGGGACAGGGCCCAACAAAACACAGCAGTCACAGTGGAGGTTGTGCGGAGATCAAAACTGTGGGACCAGGGTCACGTTCCGAAAATGAAAAGAACACGCTTGCCTGTTCACTTTCAAACACACCCAAACACACTGTCAGTCATATATGCCGATCAATTGACCCCCAAGACCACCCCAATGTAAGCATCTATGGCAGCCCCATTAGTCGTGTTTGGGACAGTAATGTGGGATCGTCCGGTTTGTGTTTTTTTTGTTGGAGTGACACTTTCTCCAACTCCGGTGGAGATGTGTCAAGATGGTGCCGCCGAAGGCTGGAAAGAAGATCAAGTCCGAACGGTTCCTGCGGAAAAGAATTGCACCCCGCTCTGAACTCTTGGCTCAAATTCCAAAGACTGTTGCCATGTCACCAGCAAGAAAAGGAGAATTTGAACATGTACGTAATTGAAATTGGATTGGTCCCAAGCACGTGGAGCTCTCATACGGCAACCGTCCATGAATTCCAGGGTCTACAGACCACCAAACTCTTGCGTCACAAAGACCTCATGCGTCTCAACAAGTGCCCTGCTCAGGACGCCGGGCAGGGAGGCAGTGCTTCTGTTCGCTCATGCCCACAGCATCCAAAATGGTGAAGATCGGAGTGCCCTTGTACTTGATGCCTTCCAAACCTCAGTGGTGACCAGACAAAGTAGTCCCTATCCCAAACACTCCATGGGACTGCCATATTTGCCTACATTGGGGTGGTTTTGGGGGGGTCAATGTATGCATATATTCCATGGGGTGTCTGGCTATAGTAGCTGGTTTATCCCACACAAGAAGTGAAGCATGGCTTATCGGCTTGTGAGCCACACCAGTCTGCACCCAACCTATAAGGGGTTCATCGGGCCATCGGGTCGTCTGCACAAATACAGTGTATACCTGCATCTTCCAAGGGTGTCCTTTTTCAGTCCCTAGCACAAAAGTAGACTTTTCACCAGAGCGGTGTTTTGCGTTTTTGTACATATAGTGGATTGAGATGGATTTGATTTGTTTTCTCAAACACAAGGCGAATTGATCTTGGCGCCAACTGACGGGTGTTGGCGTGATCGACATCTTTCAACCCATCTAATTTTGGTGTGTTCTGGTGTAGAAAATCCAATTGTTAGACTTTGAGATCCTTTGATGGTTCTTTGGGATGTCACTGTGTCACTGAAAAGGCTGGTTTGTCAGGGGATGGCCTCACTTGAAAAATCACACGTTAAACCAGGTGTTGACCGGTGTCCAAACAGCTCCACTGGCTCAACTGGCCTTCCATCTTCCCACGAGTCAAACGGTGCCATCGTCCCGGTGCGGAGCCAACTCAGCTCAAGCGGTCGATCTCCTGATGCAGTCGGACCCCCAGCGGTCAGTCTCGACGTCGACCCGCCATCGATTCGGCTTCGTCCACCTCCACCGAATGGAGATCGAGGTGGCACCCGTTGGCCCGTCCGAAGATGCCAAGGACATCGGCACCGAAGCGAGTTTCGCGCATGGCCGGCACGGAGACGGCTGGGGCGTCCCAGCTTTCTCTAAGGTACTGCGCCACGGCCAGCTGGTTCGCCACCTTTTGGAAGCGCTGTAAAACCCCACCCGTTCCGGGTTCCAACAGTAACATGTTCCGTTTTGACCTCCGTTTCAATTGGACTGGTGTGGTTTTAGAGGGTCTAAATTGGTCTATATAAGTACCTTCTGAGAAGGTATTTGGAGCTGGAGCCCTAGACCCAGGCTTGACTCATGCTGCGTGGGTCCATGATGATGGAACAGCACCTCTGATGAACAGCCCCGAGTTTATAGTTTCTCATAGTTTTTCCATTGTACAACATCTAATGTTCTTTGCCGCAAAGCAACCTTCCGAAATACCATGTTTATACCTTTGCTCTGCTCCTTCTGAGTATCGGAGTCCGCCTCATGTTCTTGATGCCCAAGGACCATAATTAGTAAGAAAGAACACACATCACATCCCCCAAACACTCCATAGGACTGGTCTATAAAGATATTCATCAGTTGTTTTTTTCTTGCAAATCATGGAAAACACCTTTGTTTGATGTGGTTGCGCTGCATCCCCTCCATCAGTGACCTCCCCATATCGCCCACCCAAACCCGGGCGCCGCGGCACCTGCGTCGCGTAGCCCTTCTTGCCAAGCCGGAGAAACTTGTAGAACTGCACGTAGACGCCCTGAGGGCTGCCACAACGCCCTGAGGGATGCCCTGATTCAACAAGGGATGCTAAATTTGGTCCACTTCGCACGTGGAATGACGACTGCGAGAACGCGACCTGAAAGGCACCCGTGAAAACGGTGTTGAATTGCAACTTGGAAGGACAAGATCGACCCTGGAGGGAACTCCTTCTTGAACTTCTGATGGTGTACGAATTACATGTCGTTAGGGACTAACCATGTCCATCTATTGCAGGACTTGTACGTGTTCCATCCACTGTGTTCAAGTAAATGAGCAGTATGTTCGACGTATGTTCCATCCATCGACTGCCAATGAAGTGGCCTCCCTACTTCTGGAGAAATTGGGAAGGGACAACTCCCTATATACACTCTGACTCACTAATTTAACATGGAAGTTAAACAATGATCCCCTTGGAAGACTACAGCGACTACTCTCTCGTTTAGTTCAAAAAAAGGAGTGAAACTCCATCGTCTGGCCTCTTTCGGACTCCCAGACCATCCCAGACCACGCAAGACTTTGTTAGGTTTTCTTCATGTCCAGTTTGCCTAGGTTACACACGCGATGCCGATCATGTGATTGAACACCCGCAGCATGTGCGGCTGCAAAGCCCATTACCTCCCCGGCGGGGGTGTCGCCAGAACCGCCGAAGGACGCCTGCGCAGGCCGAGAGAAGTTCAGCGTGTAGGAGTCAGCACCTCGGCGAACGAAGTCCGGGTGGATCTCCAAAGCCCCAATGGTCAGCAGCCGGGCGCCCCTCAAAATACCAAACAAATGGGCCGCCCAAACCCCAACACCTCACACCTCACACTCTCCGTTCGTCTCACGGACGGGACGGAGGAGACGTGGCGCTTCCTCCCAAGTAGGACACGCTGATGGCCACGTGCTCCGACAGTCCCTTCCGCTGGCGCCAGATCACCCAGCCTGACGGCGTTTCACAGGTCAGGAAGCTCGGAGTCCGCTTTAGCCCTATATATGATCATGAGTGCATATGGGTTGAGAAGGCAAATGAGCGAAACCATTCATGTTCCGGCAATTGGTTTAAGGGAACATCTACATGGAAAGCCATGGTTCTTGGGAGGAGAAGACCATAGATCTTCCCTTAACGCAACTTAAACGAGTCCATTGACCATTGCAAATGAAAAAAAAACAACATCAATACTCATTTTTGGTTCACTCCAAAAGCCCACCTGAGATGGAGCAGATAGTTGATCGCCAGTGTGAGGTCCAAGCTTCTGCCCCAAAAAATGAATGTCATCAGGTCATCAGGTAGCTTCCACGTGTTTCGGAGTATTATGCATTCAACAGAATCCATACAGTTCTTACCAGGATTTACCAGGTGCTGCTCAGGCATGCTGTTTTCTTCCTGATCAAGTGCCAGCTTCCTCCTTTAAAGGTGTCAAGTGGACGGTTCAAGTGATGGCAGGTGTGTGAATCTCAAAAGCCGATCTTGTCAGGTGGAGACCCCTCTCCGTTGGCGCTGTTGGTGCTCGAACCCGACAGGTTCTCTCATCCACTAGCTGCTAGCTGGTGCTCTAGGGCCAAGGTCACAGCAGGGGCGGTACGCAGTCAACCACTTTTTATTGCTAGAATGTGATGAAAGGTGATGGGATACTTCCCACAAGATTCCCGAACTCAGGCGCTTTACACTCCCATTTCACTCCTAACTTGGCACAGAACCATTTATTTTCAAAAAAACACCACCACCACCACCACCACCACCGGCCCGGCCCTTGGTCTTCGGATGATCTTCGGATGGTTCTCCTGGTGTTTCAGGGCCAGTTCCGAAGGACCGAAGAAGCTCCCCGGTCCGGTGGTGCGGTGCGGGCTGTGCTCCGGCCGGTTCAGGCGTTTCGGGCTGACCCAGAGAGGGTCCAGATGGAGAACCCAGACACGACTATATGGGACATGGTGGACTGCCTTCAAAACGGCCAGGGGTGGTTGACTGGTGGTCTGGCTTGATCGGCAATCCTATGGCAGTCCCATTAGTCGTGTCTGGCTAATTAATGGACTCTCAGCTCACTCGCAAGATTCGGGACCGAAGGAAACAGCTCGCCACCAGGGTCCTTCAGATCTCTTTCTGATTCACGGAGCTCGACCCGGGTCCGATTGGCTTCACTACCCACGGGGCTCGTCGTTTTCCACCGCAGGTCGCATGTCCCGACCCGGAGAGGTCCCGCGAAGTCGGTGCGCGCGGGGACCGGTGGCCACCGCCTGTGCCACAGCAGGAGTTTCCGAACTTGTGGCCACTGGCAGAGATGGACCTTGGACTGTGCGTGGTGCGAGAAAGCCGCGCACCCTGGTGAAACCAGGCGGAGGCACACGCATTTGACAGACTGGTCATGGGAGTCAGATTATACGGATTGGACATGTGAACAAGGGTGAACTCATTATAAATCACATTGCTGTTCATCGTCAAGCTTCTCTCAAGGTATCGACCCTGTGGTCAATCACACCACCAACATCCATGACCCAACACGGAACCAACATGAACCAACCGATACGGAACCCAGTCACCCGGCGATCCGATCCTGTCCCGCTCGAGTGGCAAAACGTTCTTCAAGCGGAAGTCCCAGGGTGGCAAACCCTCCTGCAGCGGCACTGCAGAACGAGAGGACGGAACATGTGTTTCCAGCACCCTCCTGGCCAGGCTGTTAGTTGAGGGTTGTTGGACTCTAACAGGTCTCTATTGGTGACCTGTCGGAGGGTCCTGGTTAGTGGTTCAAAGTGGCTCCAAAGGGGTGTTTTGTGGGTCGCGGAGGTCGTGTGCAAACGGACTTAAGATCCCAAACACTCCATGCGACTGCCATAGGACTGCCGAGAAACGGCCAGGGCCTGGTGGTTTGGGGGGGGGTCAATTGATCGGCAGTGTCTGGGGATGGATCAACTAGGTTCGTTGATGCATGTTGATGAACTTGTTACTTGTTGCTAGTCGTTGGGGTTCTCCACCCGGTTCGCAACTAAATAGTCCTATATATTCTATAGAAGGGTCCATATGTTGCAGGGTCCAAATGAAGCATGGGCTTGTCATCATCATCCAGACCTTTTTAGATTCAAGTGGGTGTAATCTTCTGGGACCCCGACTCCATCCTCCAAGGCGATGCTTCTCAACAAGGTCCCCCTGACCTTTCTAAGAGCACGGTGTCATCACGTGCACATGTGAATTAGGAACTTCTCTCCGAATCTCTCCGATGATTTTATACCTGCATCTTCCAAAGTATACTGCTGTTCCATGCTGTTTCACAACACATTCCTTTCACCATGTCGACATGGTGTGGAACGGACACCTGGTGGAGCCGCTCCGTCCAAACCGGTGGATGTCTTCCGTTTTAATCTGCCCCCCTTCCAACTTCCAACTGCCTGGTTTAGGTCCAGCCGCTCGGTCGATTCCGATGAGTGCTACCTGAGCCATGGCAGCTCAGACTGTAATAGGCTATGGCTAAGGCTGGACAAATTTGAATAAGAAGCTGATGAGGCCACTAAGCCTGGAAGGATGAAGATCTCACATGATCCCCACCCAACACCATTTTGAGGGGGTAAAAACCGAAAAGCCCAAAGCTCCTGGAAGGGCGCGATGAAACCGCCGGAGGCGGCGTCCACGTGAATGCCCACCTGCGGACCAGACCGGAGCCAAGGTTCACCCATGGCGAAACGAGCGCAGGGCGGAAGAGAGGACGATCTGTGAGACTCATATACCAACCACCCGAGGTCAGAACCTGCCACTTTTGAGCCTCCAGGTCTTGGGTCTCCCTGGAACAGAGGGTGGTCATTTTTAGGGGTGAAGGAGTGGCAGTGAAGGTGCATAATCATGCACAGTGAAACATGAAGATACATATACATAAAATGTGGTGGAGTGTCTTTGCCTTTGCTCAGCTTGGAGCCCTGGTGATGGTGATCAGATGTCTTCCAAATCTTCCAAGATATTTTCGGACGTGTAAAAGACACACATCAACCAGCCAGCCACAGGCAGTTCCGAAATCCCCCGGGACCGAAGAGGTTCCGAACCAGGTTCCTCTCCAAAGAAGTGAGAGGAGATGGATTCTTGGATGGTCGCTCTCCTTCGTTTTCGCTTACACTCCTACGTCTTGGTAGACACTGCAACTCCCAGCACTGGTTGTGTACCCCCGGGTCTAAAACCCCGGTCTCCCTACAAGACTTCTGAACGGTTTTTCGCCTTAGCCATGCACAGCCACTGGAAACTTCCTCATACTTGAACCTGTTCTTTTCTGAAAGGGTTTGATCTTAACACGTCCTTCGTCCAAAATGAGAAAAGGATGTCCATGTTTAATGCGTTATAACATGTTGCGTTCTCTTCGAGGCTGCATGCGTTATATTCGCCTTCAACCCCTTCTCCGCATTGATCTTCTCCAACATGGCATCGACCTGCCGTCCCGGCAGTTTGGCACGGCGAGAAAGCCCAAAACAACAGTCCAAAACGGGTCCTAGAGGTGGAGGCCAGTTCAGAAGAATCTCCAAAAACAAGACATAATACACCTTAAGACATCAATTGCTGCTGTATTTTTAATCATTCTTTCTATACAACGCCAAGACCCGAGGAGACGGAGCATGACCGCGCCTCCCACACCGGGTCATACCTCGGTTCGTGAAAAAAAGACCAAGCCGGCAAATGGAGCGGGTGACAGGGCCGAGAAGGATTTTGAAACTTATGTGTTGTATATTTAAATTGTATTTACAAATACTGAAACTAATTATACCATATACTGTGATGAGTCATGTTGTTTTTAAGTTGTTTGACTTCAAAAAGAACAAACAAAGTGGCAGAATTATATAAAAAGTGGGTGCAGTTTAGGGGAGCGCTGCTCTTCCTGAAAGACTGAATGCGTTTCCTGAAAGAGCGAAACAAACAAATCATGCATGACCGTGCCGCAAAATTCTTTCTCAAAACCTGCATATGTATTGTTTGTTCCTGGTTGCATATGGAAAGGTTTGAAGATTATTTTGGGGGGTCTGGAGGTTCAATCCTCTTCAGAAACGTTCCACGGATGAATTCTGCGCAGGATCCGAATCTAAAATGAACACCCAACAATCCCCAAAAAAATATTCCTGGAAGTGGGAAGAACCATCAAATAACCGTGCAGAAACTCGGCCTCACCGTCCCCGCAGAAATCAAATACCATGTTCCTCTATTTTTGCATCCGATGGTAGGTCCTCCACACTGAGGCCGGCTCTGGCCACCATAGTGGTTGCCCATGATGCAAACCTGGGTCTTGCAAGTTGAGTCCCAAATGGATCATTTCCACTTGGAATCTTGACCCTTCTCTGGTCGATGCAAAAAATCTTAGTAGTTCGAATCATGTCCAAAACGATCTAACACATGGCCAAACCAATCACTACACCACCTGCTTAAATGTGAGGGAATCGTCATTGTGTGAATGTGGGGGGGAACCATGGTGAACCCACATGCATGTGTATTCATTACATGTTTTCCCCGTATCCAACCACGGGACGGATATCAACCCGACTGGTCTCACTACCATCCCTGCAGTACCGCGACCTCCCTCGAAACACAAGAGGTTGCCTCGACGAGTCATCCCGAATCATCGTGAGTCCGTTGGCCCTGGGTGATTTTTGCGTTGGTCGGCTTACGCGTTTCTTCAACATACCCTGCAAGTCCTTCGATACTTTTGAAAGACACTGAGGGGAACACGCATCTTAGCGAACACATGCTCCACATATATAATATCTGGACCTGAAATGTCCGCGCATTGGACGCCCAGACTCGTAGGGTCGTTTTGGAGTGCCCTTTGTACACTGGATCCTCCTTGGCCCCCCAACATCCAAAGTTTCTTGCAGTGCCCACTTCTTTTGCTAGGGGCCTCATGGTTCTTTCAAACTCATATTATCGCCATATTCCACTAAGGCAGAGCTTCACCATGTGTGGAACCCATTGCAAACACTCCATCTAATGTGAAATCCCGACTATTCAAGAGGTTCCAAAAATTGCTCTCAATCACAGAATGAGTAGTACAACGGTTTTGGTTTAAACTGATTTGTTTTGAGTTGAGCCTACAACCACTGCTACCCCCACTCCTACACCTGCGCCAATGAATTCTTTTGGCGGGCCTGTCCCCAACTCACTCTCCTTCAATTGATTGCCAGGGGAGGGGACTGTTTACTGCTTACTATTGAAGATCCGGCATTCATTATCGGATGCTTGCCACTCCTAATTATAGAACCTAAGCCCGTTTGGATAACTATATGTGATATATAAGTTCATAATGCATACCTCTTTCCTCTTCCGCTTGCAGGATAATGATGTCGATTGAAACAGGGCCCATTCGGCGGGACTGGAAATCCATCGGTCGTTGACCCGCACAATGGTGTGCGAACACCACCGGTGGTTTTGCGGTGCGCATGTGTTCCTGCAAGAGACGCGTCAAAGATTTGGACCTCTTGCTGAATCCATCGTGTCGGTCTACACGAGAATTGCAAAAATTATCTAAAAGTCCCATGTGTATTTTTTTTCCGTAGTCGGGCCGGGAAGTTTGAGTAGGTGGTATGATTCGAGGGTATGATTCGGGGGTATGATTCGCAGATGATTCGCCGATTCGAAGTTGTATTGTTGGATTAGCTGGACTTCCAGCAGTGGGTCCACTCTGCGCCGAGGCAGTAGGCAAGCAGCATCTGTTGGATGCTGGGCAGACTAGGCAAATGCACTCTTCCACCAAAGACTCCAGTGGCCCTCTGCAGGCCCCACCAAAACAACCAGGATGTGGGATGGGTGGGAGACTGTGTGGAGGTGCCTGATTCGGGTATGAATCGGGTGTGATTCGTATGGCCATTAGATTCTGCAAAAGAAGGCGGTCCTTTGGCTCTTCTTCCCAAGGGAGAGCACATGGGAACATTATGAGTACCCCTGGGATGTGAGCCTTCGCTCTTCCCACAAGAAGACACAAACAATTTTGGCCAAATTGAGTGCTCATGGATCACACAATTGCAAACGTCATGCACCATTGGCTCGTGGACATCTACAAGGCACAAAGACCAGGGTATGATTCGGGGGTATGATTCGAGGTATGATTTGAGGGTATGAATCGCTCAAGTCGAACTTCCAACCACTACATCAGGAAGTACACGCCAAAAAATACAAATCCATATGCACATTAGAGCGGCCCCCGCTTCACGTTGAACAACATCTTCAACCAAGGATATATCCAAGGATGGAAAAGCACGATGGATCTCCTGCCGGCAAAGTCATGTGCAAAATGCATGCTAGCCCGGGGCCCAGCACTTCAGCACGGTGCAGAATAGCACCATGAGTGGGGCGCAACAACACGGGCATCCCTGGGAGCAACAGTCCATGAGTTGCTGGTATAGAATTGCAGAGATATGCCCCACGCATCGCAGCAAGTATGTATTGCAAAGGTTCCCATGCGTGCCATGTACTGGAGTCGCCAAAACGATCGACCTGCCGCCACAAGTCAACGCCACGGGTCGAGTGGTGGTACTGGGCCTGTGCTGCAGCTGAAGCCGTGGAAGTGGCGCGGGTGGAGTTGGAGTCATGATGAGAGATATACAGTGGGTGGAGCTGGTAACTTACAAAAATCACCAGAGAAGTCTGTCTGCGAAAGCACCGGAAAGGCACACTTCAGGCGTTGGACTTGACTGGCATCATCAAATGCCAGCACTGCCAGGAGCGTATTTGGCGCGGTCCTTGCTGCAACGTCTCTCCCATGCCAGAACCCGAGCCTGCAAAGACCAGATTTGCCCAAACGACCCTTGTGACAGGTGCGAGGGCGGCAGTCAGGCAGGCAGCAGTGAACAGCACTGTGTCAAACATCATACAACAACATATTGGTCCGTTCGACTCGCACTGCGTTGAACTTCTTATTCTCTGGCATAGTGGCATCGTTCTCTAAAGCCATGGCTGCCACATGCTGCCACCAACACTTGGGACGCTTCAGTAAAAACTCCCTTGTTACTGGCCACAAACCACCGGTGCTGCCGCAACCCGAACGGCCCGTGGCACGTGTTTGCTCACCCTAGGGAGATCCAAGTACCTTCTCAGAAGAAGGCTTGGAAGGCCCAGTCGTACCTTCTCTGTATGTGGATCCTTCCTGGCACCCACCTCAAACACCTTCGAAACGAAGGTACGACTGGAGCGCAAGGGGTCTATATATGTGATCTCAATTTCAGCCAAAGGATCCACCCACGTCCATCCGCACTGAAGACGAACCCCGCGGATGGACCTCCCCGTGTAGTATAGCTGAGACACCACTCCGATGGTCTTCTCATCGATGAAGTCCTGGAAGCAAAGCTTGACATCATCAACCCAAGACTGGAACTCTACAAATGTTGCCCAAGTTACGCTCCAAACTCACAGCCCAACCGGTCCCTCAAAACCCATCGACCAAAAAGAGGCGGGATGGCGTTGATGGATTCGATTCGTGGCAGGTTGGATGACCTGGGGGATCCTGTGAAACACGCGAGACGGTCCTTGATCTTGGCGGGATCCAAGGTGAAGGTCTTGTAGCTGGGAGGCACAAAGCGTGGTTGGATGTCCATGTACTTGAACCTGAGCTGACTTCGAGACCAGACGTGGCGGAGGGTACAGGGCAAATGGGTTGCGCACGGGGAGAGATGGGTTGCTTGGGATAATGGTGCCCACAATGAGGTTTGTGGTTCACAAATAGGACTAGTTGGTTATGTCAAGTTATGTCAGTTGTATACCACTTGCAAAGAGTCGAAGTCACTGCTTTGGTCCATTGGTGTGATACCACTTGGCATACCCTAATAAGTGGAAGCACTGTGGACTGTGGTTGCCAATGAAACAACAGCTCTCCAGTTTCGTCCAGCCACAATCGCAGGAAAGGCAGGCTGTCAAAGGTTTCATCTGTTTCTTCCATCATGCATCCCTCTTGAAAGTAAGACAAAAATGGAGAAAAGTGAAGATCTCTGATCCCTCTGAGTCTTTTCCAGGCACAGCAAAACGTGGGCGCTTCGTATAGAGCTTCACTGCATCACGTGTCCGGCGCTTTCCCGGACACGATCCACTCCGGGGCTGGCCCCCTGAGGGTCCCAACAACTTCTCCCAGGCAGCCTGGAACATCGTGGAGATCACCTGGATTTCGGGTCGCAGAATCGGTCGCAGATCGGAGGTCTAAAGGCAAGCTCGGTTTTTCAGCTGGGCCGCTCTAGCAAGCTCGGGATGGTATGGGTCTCCAGCAAGCTCGGTATGGGCTGGACCTCTCTAGCAAGCTGCTACTGCTAGCTGCTAGCTGTTGTTCTTCTTCTTTTTGGAGGGGGAATACAGGGGTGTTAGAATACAAGTGGGGTGCCCGGTTGAAAGGCCGTTGATGACGGACTTCCGAGCCGCTTCGCTGGAAAATACAGGTTGACCTTGTTCCGCATGGTTTTGTTTAGTGGGAAAACCGATCCCGCAAAAAGGTTAAAGGATGTCAAAGGTTATCCACAGACTGGGTAGGATTATGAAGTTTGTACCAGGACCCCTATCCCAAAATCAAGACACTGTCCCAAATGGCCAGCCGTGCCCGCGGCTGCCGGCAAAGGTCTGTTATGCCCGTTGCACTTGGGGCATGTTTCACCTGAATGGGAGTCCGACCAGGAACATCACCAGCCTCAGGTGGCCACCTGTTCTGCCTGCCATATCAAAACAGTGACAATCATTAGTCGTGGTCTGGCTCTTGCAGCTGAGTGGTTATTCCCTTCCCGACCCCCTTGAAAAGGTGACGCAGCTGCAGATCTGGTCTGGGGATCCTTCTCCAAAAAGGAGCAAACGACTGTATAAGAAGATTGAGCCTACTTGACATTAGGAAGTTTGGAGGTAATCTGTTTAGACTGCCCCAATGGCTCGAAGTTCCTCCCACATCAACCAATCCACCTGGTTCAAATTTGACCCACCAGTCCACTGCCATCTAAAGTGCTTGGAGCCTCGGGCTCGTCTCTCGTTTCCGTTGTTCCCAGTCCGACCGTCGCGCCCAGTGGCCAGGTTGGGGTACACGCCACGCACTTCATCTTCGTTCTTCCCAAACTTCTGCCCCTCAGAGCAGACAGGTCGTCACTCACCCCCCCGAGGGGTCACGGAAGGTTCGAGGACTGGAGGTCGAGGTCAGAGATCGACCGGTTGACCTATTGAGTGGTGTTTCGTTGTTCGCGGCAGATTAAAGCACCAGGACTCATTTGCCAGGTGCACCAGGACCCATTCCTTTTGGGTCTATCCTATTACCAATGCCCTTGTTCAAAAAACAGTGATGATTGTTTACTGACTGTTACACATGTTCTAGGACATTCTAGGACAGACCCAACCCATTCCCATCTGCAAACCTGGGAGTTTGCCACACTTTTGCTTCACCAAACACAAGCAAAAAAACAATCTTCGTGTGGGGGGGGATGTAAGGAATATGGAGTGAGGAAAATGTCCCCCGCCTGGGCCTACATGGTCAATTGGTTGGATCCTGATCGGTGGCCGCCTTTGCCCCTCCTCCCGTCTTGGCACTCTGAGGTTTCTGAGCGTTGTGGCCGAAATGTTGCGACATGTTGTGACAAATCGAAAGCGGAGCCTAGCAAGCTGTCGTCGTGCTTTGATGTTCTTCTACTGGAGAGTCATCCCACTTCGTGCTTTCGCAATGCCAAGGCCAGGCTTCTCAATCAAAACGGCAAGGCTATGGACGTTGAATGCACTGGCCAATTTCAGGAGAGAAATGCATGTTGAATAGAACATGCTGACAGTGCGCACTGTAGGTACCCTGACACCTTTGCATGAAACTGCTGTCACCCTAATTTTGGAGACCGTATTAACGGCAAGTGAAATTCATCTAAGAATGCAAGAATTGTCTCTCACCAACACACTCCCTCCAAGAATCATTGCAGTTCCAAAACACAGTCTGGTGTTCCAGTTCCGTCATGGCCTGCCATGGCCTGCCATCCACCCACCGTCCTCCAGGACATCGGGGTGTCCGGCTGAACGACCCGGACCCACTGTCCGGGATCAGCCAGGACACCCAAACAGGATGGTCCAGGCTGCGCCCAAAAATCCCTAGTCCGAGCCCGAGCGGTCTGGCTGGATGGCTGGACCGAAGGCATGAGTCACTAGCAACTCAAGGGGTGTTTCATCGATTTCAGGCAAAATGTCATTAAAACAACTCAATGGTATGACCCCCACCGCCTGAAGTAAACAAGCGCAACAATTCGTTTTGCCACCCGAGAGAGGCGGCCACGCCCAAAGAACAGATGTCGAGGTGCATACCACTTTCGCCAGCGGAATTTCAGCGCCAGCCCCGCCAACAAGCAGGCCTCTCATCACCCAAGGCAGCGAAGGTGGGCTTCCAGTCCCGTTTTCCAACATGACATCGACACCAGGACCTGACCTGTTCATGACCTAACTTGAGATTCCAGTGGCTGAGGTCATCCCTTAGTCCAAGTTGCTTAGGAACTCCACACATCACTGAGAGAAGTTCCTGGTTGACCGGAATTTTCTGAGCACGACCAGCATGGCATGAGACTGCAGTCCAACATGTCTTGCTTATCAAGCTGGATCTCTCTATATATATATATACACAGTATATGCCTATGTTGGTGTAATTTTTCATCTTTTTGACGTAAGAATTGCCACGTCATGCCATGTCTCTAATCAAACACGCTGGGGCGTTGGCGGAGCCACTGCCGTGTCAGTCGCGCTTTCTATCTTGGGTCTACTAGAATGTTCTCAAACACCAAACAAATCGAGATTCTCCAACACCTGCCTTGCGGCATGGACTTTCATGCCAAACGCACAAAGGCTGAATAAGTTGCAACAAACCAGCAAACCATCTCCGTTTCTGCCTCGCGCAGCTGTGCATAGGGCTTTTGGCAGCATAAAGCAAAGGACACAAGTAGACCCTTCATTGAGCCAAACTCTCACCTGAGGCCTCTGCTCACCCCAAAAAAGCCGGTCTAAAGCTTGGGATGACTCAGAAACTTCGAGTTGATATTTATAAAAATACATTTAACAAAAATATCATATATCTGCATAATTCTGCATAATAGTACAGTCTATACAGATTATACAGTATATCATAGACCTCCGTTCATCCCGAAGATCCCTGGCCGACACCAGTGCAGTCCCGGCCGACACCGCCTCGGTGGAGCCCACGGTGCCGGCGCCCGCGTAGCAGCCGTAGTCGTCGAAGTCGTCGGGCTTCGGGCAATGCCAAGCCTTCGCGATCCTCGGCGCGGAGCAGCGCGTGGCGTGAAAATGGGGAGATTCCAAGCAACGAGGTTCTGGAAGGACCATAAACCACAACCGATTGGTTGGGTGATGTTGGGTGTGAAAAGCTAGTTAGAGTATCTGAGTATCCCTTAGGTACTGCAGGTGATGGGTCCTTTTTTCAGGCCACTTCACCTCACCGTGGGAAGTCTTTCGCTTGACGCGTTTCGACCTGTCTGGGAGTATGCCATAGTTGTACATTGGGTTTGTTGACCTGGGGTCAATGTAGGCATATTACAATACATTGAAGTGTCTGGGATTGCGCAGTGGCTGAAGACCCTGGTGGCGCAGGATGGAAACACGCAGTAGCCTCACAAACGCCAAAACCAAAAAGATTGGATGGAATGTTGCACACTCAAAATCCAAGAAAAACAGAACCCCCCCAGGCTGACCAGCAGTCGCAAGGGTTTACATGATTTTGGCTTGGAGGTCTTTGTCTTTGGACCCACCCACCACCAACTTGTTTAATTTTCTTTCGACAATGCGACATAACACCCAAACACATAAAAACACTCCGAAACTCTAAGTTCATTCATCTCCCAAAACGAAAACAAACAAGAACACATCATGTACTATACATGTGTAAAAAAACACACGTGTGTGTATATGTGCATGTGTCTTCTCATTCTGGCTCTGTTTGTTTGCATCACGTTGCATCAGCTTTGGTACCCGAGGATCATGTTGATGGTGTCATTGTGCATTCGAAAGGACTCAGGGTAGACGGTCTGATCGGCGAGGTTCACCTTGAGACCCATCAAGGCCACCTTCTCTTCTTCCTCAGTCGTGTCGTCCGCGGGCATCAAGCGTTTGAGTGAGCGCCTGATGACGTCATGCGGAACGTCGCCCGGCAGCGAAGTAGACCCCGTTTGCACCCGCCTTGTAAAAAAGGACGCCAGCGAGGTCAAGTGGATGATCGGGTGAGAATATTATGATATGATAGGTCCATAAGGTTTTCTTGTCATCCACAATGTGGTTGTACATATTATCAGGTTGCTGGTGATATAAGGCTGCTGGTGATCCATGAATCTGTGTCTCCCCTTCGCGACCATCACATCGCACATCACACCAAAACAATTGGCATGTCCGTGCATGTTGGTAACACCCAAGCGTCTGGCTCAAAGACCACATTCACATAAGAGCTAGTGTTCAGTCGTTCAGAGAAGTCCAGGAGGTGGTAGTCCTGCGCGAGTCCCGTGTCATACGGCTGTCCTTGGGTCAAGGCTTAGGTGGGCGGACAGGTCCAAAGGCTTGAAGTGAAGGAGTGAGCCTTTCTTTCTCGCCTGAAGTGAAGGTGAAGGTCCATGTTCTTGGGGATCAGGACCATATTTTTTTGGCCATCAAAATGTAGGCATATATATGGCAGTCCCATGAAGTGTCTGGGTATGATGCGCTGTAGCTGTCCCAACCCCAAGTTTGGAGAGCCGCCTCACACCCACAAAACCTTCTTCTTTCAGGAATTTGTGGGTAATACAGGTGAACTTCAATGTCATAGTCCGACACACTTTGCAATGTTTCTGTCAAGTACCTGCCTAGCCAGTTCTTAAGCTCATGCCCATGAAACCCTGACCGCCACCTCTTCATGCCCTAAGTGCTTATATGAATCAGAAAAAAACCTGGTACGAAAATCCTGATCCCAACGTCAAACCATCGCAATTTCAAGCGGCGGTCTCTTTATCAGCTGTCTGAACTGGAATCACTGTCAGAATCTGTACTATGGTCAGAAGAAGTCTGACCCTCAGAAACATCTATACCATCCTGCACTCTTTGGAGGCGCTGCTGTGCCCGCTGAAATCTGGCGTACCTCTTGGCCCTAGATTTTTTTTTTGGCGGCCAGCTTCTCTGCAAAACTTAAGTAGGCAGGATTTCTCTTGGGCGTGGGCAATTCTTTTGGGATTCCCAGACCCGTGTCAAATGATGTTCCTTACTCCAATCTGGAGGGTCGTCTTCCCAGTGACTCCTTCGTAGCACTCTTTTCTCCATGTTTCAGGGTTCTCTTCTGCCAGGGTTTCGATATTCCAGTCGTGGATTCGTGTGCATTGAGGACAATCAGCAAAGATCCTGTTAAACAACAAAGGTGGGTGATTACCATTTGTCCTGGGAGGCTCAGCATCTAAGGCTTAAGTACGAGTGATCTTGAGAGATTTTGCATAATAGAAATGCAGCTTTCTTTTCAGGGTAGCACACCTTCTTCGCAATCCATTTCGGTCCAGCAGGGTCTTTGCGAGCCTGCTCTTTCGCTCCCACTTCGAAAGCCCGGCGCATTGCATCTACATCGTAAATGGGTTGTTTTTGGGCAAGCCGACCCATCTTATGCACACCGGTCCATGTGAACATCTTGTCTAAGATTGACTTGCCGTGTTGCTCAGCAAGGAATCGGATGTTTTGCTTTCGGGTTGAAGGCAAGACTCCAGCAGCAAAATAAAGGTTTTCAGCGCTTCTAAAATGCGGCCCTGTGTCGGACCAAAGTTGTAAGGTGCCAGTGGTGGGAAGATTCCAACAATCCAAATCTGTCTGCAACATAATATTGCTTGCCTCAGCGGTTTGCTCAACCACATCTGCAATGAACAGCAAAAAAACATAACTCAATCTTTGGAAGCTCTTCTCTTCCGTAGACGATGCAGTGTGTTTAGCGCAAACACCCCCCCAACAACTCAATGCAACCTTCTGTTGGCTGTGCCACATGGGCCCTGTCTCAACTGGAGCCATGGGTAGCTTGAGTTTCTTTCGCCGGTCGTAGGCCAAAAGGAAATCGCCACGTGGCAATTTACAACTCTGCGTTTCCAACAAAGATTCGAAGACATCTGCCATTCGCCTTGCGCTGACCATATGCCACTGGTAGAACCGCAAAAGAGACAAACGACCTCTCAATTCAAATTCTAGGCGCTTCCACTTCGGAGTACAAAGTCAACCTGTCAGCCAAAGACAGCCCTTGTCTTTCCAGATGGTGATTTTCATGGTGATTGTGGATGTAGTGAAGAATGCCCCGAGCAACTTCCGCCCAATCTCCCCTTGTTGGAATCGTGTTCCTCCTTCTCTTTGTGCCAATGCTCAAAATATGATGGAAGGATTGCCAGGAGGTTAAACAAAGCCTATTTGGCACCCCCCCAAATCAAGCCTGCTAGGCTTCCCCCTTAAAAGCTTTCATTCTTTCTGCGCAAGGGGGGGCGTGAGCACGAGCACAAACCTGGCGCCTGTGCTGCGGACACAGAACTGGACATGTCTGCAATGACCTGTACAAGGCCTGCTTCCTTCAGAGCAGCCACGGAGCGTGAACATTTCAACAAAACGCAACTACGTACACAAGAGTAGCAGCAGCCTCCTTTTTGGTTCGAATAGCTTTGCGTGCGCTTCTGACCTCCCACTTGCAAGAGCGCCGCGCCCTGCCACACAGCAGGCAAGATGATTCCACATCAGGTACAGCTCCGGCTGAAGTCTTCCTTCCCTGATCTTGGAATGCCTTGGCAATCTTGCTCAGCCTGGCAAACTTCTGGGAATGCAGTTGCAACAGGCAAGAAGCTTTCTTGCCCAAACTTTCAGCAGGCACAGCCTGAGCAGCAGCAGCCTCCACAGCCCCCGCAGCCTGTTGCACAGGCACCACACCCTCCACACCACCAGCTGGCCCCACAGCCTGTGGACACAGCCCCCACAGCCTGTGGACACAGCCCCCACAGCCTGTTGCACCACAGCAGCAGCTGGCTCCACAGCCTGTACCCAGTTTCCACAGCAGCAGGCTCCACAGCCTGTTGCACAGGCACCTCCACAGCAGCAGGCTCCACAGGACCACCAGAGCTCTGCATAGGAATGGCCAGCTGTTCTTGTGCATTTTTGCACCACACAACTTGGCCTAGCTTCCGGCAGAAAGGGATCGCCTTTTGGCTTCTTCAAGGACCAACCATGAGCCCTTTCATACGTAGTCTGTTCCACTGGGCAGCAATGCCGAGGCAGTTCTGCAGCTAGCTGCTCTTTTGTCAAAGGTGTGGATCCAGTAAGTTCCACGTGAGCAAGTTCTGAACAGCAATGCCTATGCGGCCTCTGATGCTGGTGCCGGTCGCTCTAATTTCGAGTGACTTTCGTCCATCCATGATCATGTCAGCCCACGCCTGCTTCAGCAGCAGTATGTGGCTCATCTGCGCTGCCACTTCGGCATCCTGCTGCTGCATAGACTGCTGGCTATCAGTCTTTGGCCTCTTCTGCGGCGTTGCAACGGTCCGCACATCAGTATTCTTGCGCTTGCTGCCACAATTCGGGGGTTCCACGCCTTTCTCGTCAGCGAACTTCTGAGCTTTCACAAGGCTATAGAAATTCCGAGTCTTGCCATTGGCCATTCCACTTGTACACCTTGTAGATGTCCAGGGTGGTGTTCTTCACTCGCTCTTCCACGGTCCACATGCTCGGCAGAAGGAGGATCTAGAAGATAGAAAAAGATGGAAACATATCGTGGGCTGGTGCTGTCCTGTCACTTTACAGTTGCTCTTTTCTAAGGCTTGGTGGGCGAAACGTCATGGAATCAAGGGTGCAAAAAGGTTCTATATATAGTCTTTGTAGACTACACACACACACACCCGCGTGCGCAACAAAACATCAACCATCGACACGCGGGCTCGGCCTAACCCCCCGCGGGCCGACGTCCGGTCCTCGACCACCCGCACGCAGTGGCGGGCGGCGGTGCCTTCATCGGGGATCTGCATGTCCGCCTCGCGTGTCCAGCGCGCGGCGCCGCTGGCATAGTAGGGCCTTGGTGGAGGCCACGTGAGGCGAAGCGGGAGGGGGTAGGAATGGAGGGATGGGCTCACATGGGACCTTGAAAGCGCACTGCAATATGCAGTAAACAGGTTAAGGTTTCAATTAATGTATTTATACACTGCAATCATCTGCAATATCAATGGGCATCAAGTGGCATGAGATATGTTCTTCAGTTGTTCTTCAAACATGGGTCTTCGTTTTCATTTTATGACTCCGGGCCTGTCTCCGAGACTTCATGCAGGGTAGCAATGGGCGTGGAGACACATATTATGTGGTACCCGAAAAGAAGTAAGGGAATCATGTCCAAACGAAGTGGCGGTTTCTGCGCAATGTTCAGATGTGAGCGGGTTTGTCTTAAGATGAGACCTGCCCTCAAGCCATGTAACTCTTGGATCTACAAGGCGCTGATGTTGAGTGGGGCATTCCTTGTTGATTTGTATGCCAGATTCAAGAACTTTCCCATCCCAACCTTGCGACAAACACCAGACGTCCAATGACGTCCAAGATTTGGTCCTGATCTGTGAAACGTCATGTGTGATTGGGGTGCATTCAAGGCGGCTCCGGCTTTCGCTCTGCCCACTCAAATTGCAAAGTGACCTACTTGTTTTCAGCCAATTGGAGATCTGAAAAAATCATCGAGATTCACATAAGTTTGCCCACATCTCTCACAGTCACAGCGCATATGAACACCCAATTACCCGTAATAGTCAAGGCACTTTGTCACGCGTGTGGGTGACGGGGAGTCATTGTACGCCATGGGCCCAGCAGTCCGCGCTTCTTTCAGCGCCTTTCAGCGACGTGACAAAAACACGTCCCTCAAGCTACCAAAACTGAGCTGCGGAAAGGAACAGAGCTGGTCGTGGGCTTCGGAACCCCCAACGACGAACTCACGCACCCGAATCCACGAACCCGTAGGCAAACAGGGAACATACGAAGATCGTCAGGAACGCGCCCCACAGCAAAACGCGGGGACGGAATCGACACTGGGACACACGAACCTCTGGGAGGGCGACCCTGTGGCATATGACACTGCAGGACACGAATTGGAATTAAATGGTCTTCAGTCTGTCTCCTTCTCTCTTTATCTCTCTTTCTCTTTGTCTATCTCCTTTCTGACCTTTTCTGTTTCACCTTTAGTTGCTTGGGAGAAAGAGGTCCTCAAAACAGAGTGAACACTGGAGCTAGTTAATTGTTCAGTCTGTGTCTTTCTCTTTGTCTATTACAATTGGTGCACTCGCTCCTTGCAGCGACCCAGCATCCTGCCCGCTTATTTGCGGGCCTCATCTGGCCCAAAATCAGCAAGAGAAAGGTCCGGAAGCAAATGAATGGGCCCCACTGAAGCACAAGAAAAGAACTGACTCTGGATTTACTGTGATTCCTTTTCAAGGTTTTGAGAAGGCTGACCCAAATGCTTCCTGATACAGAACCAAACAGTTAATTCTTTCCACATGCATGGGTGATGAAAAACACCGAATCCCAAGTCCCAAGTTGACATTGCGACTTGCACGTTGGTCTGTACCCCAAGACAAAGGATTAACACCGAACACCAGAGTTTACAAACAAATAACTCTGGTCTTCACTCCATTTCATACAGATTGGGGCTCTGCCTTTCTTAGTCCAACCTAATAGCAATGACCTCCAACCTAAGAGTGATGGCCTCCACCCTAGTAGCGATGGCCTCCAACCCTTGGACTGGATAAGTCGTTGAAGACCCTTCGCAGCTGGGTGGCGAACATGTGACACCAATGTCCAGCTGAACAGGGCAGGTGACGTCCTTTTCGTCAATGAGATGTTCAGGTGCTGCCACTTTGTTCTGTGGGGTGATCAGTGTATTCGCCATTCATTCTAACAAAAATCTCTGGACCAACTCGCACAATCTGAGATCTGAGTTCTGTATCTGCAGTCGATAGCCCTTCTGAGGTGTAGACTGTAGACTAGACTAGTGACTAGCGTTTTGCCAGGGCAACCAAGCGATCAATTGCACTCAAACTTACTCATTTCAGCCCGAGAGGTCCTCTTTTCGAACTTGCCAACTCATGGAGAGTCATGCCTACTGCGAAGTCCTTTGCTCCGCAGGTTCTGCGATCAAAACCGTCCACGGCTATGCAGCTGGCAACTCCGAGTGATTAACGGAACACGGCCAGCTCATTCCGGGAACCCATCTTGTGATTAATAATTAGGTAGACTGGTGCAGTTGACATCCGCCCAGCCTCGGCGCCCTCTTGAAGGACCCAATGTTCCCCAAAAGGGCTGTTGGGATCCGAAGTCGGCAGTTGGGCCTTCTAAAGCACAGGGATTCACGACATGTTGCCCACCCTTCGAAGCAAAGACCGACCATCCGGAATCAGCAAGCTGGATCAGCGCCCGAGGCCCACACGGGCGCCGATTCAAGGCTGACGTCATGAGATCGAGGCCCATGGCGTGGTCAAATTGGGGTCCGATCGCACGAAGAGTGCAGTGTTTTGAGAGAGGTTTCCATGATCATTGTGGGATTGAAATGGATCGAACATCGCCTATGTTCTGAAGATGCCTGAAGATGTCTGAAGTGTTACTCTTGTTGAAGTCGTACTTTTACCCTTAATGTAAATTTCTTTGTATTGGGTCTCGTATGGTCCATCATCACACATAACAATTAGCAATCGATAGTTTTTGTAATTCCAAATCCCAATGGAATCCACTTGTCCACCATGCGTTGCTCCAGAACCACCACCACCAAGCAGAACTGCTAAAGGAGCCTGCAGCCTTACCACATGACTCTCCACCCCTCAGAACGAAAACAACCGGTTTGGGGACACTTCTATTCAGAACTGACCTAGTCGTTGGTCCACTCGGCGATGTCCATGGACACGGTGGGGCCGTCTCTCAGCAGTGCGACCAAACGCCCCACATTACCTTAGCGTGTTTTTTTTCACGCATGGCGCCGACGGCGAAGGACCCGCCAAACGAAGGGCGGCGAGAAGGATGAGAAGTTAAAGCTGGTGTGGCATGACGTTCGTTTCAGACAAGAAAGCACGTGATCATTTCTTCAAAATGCCTTCTCATCATGTATATCTTCAATAACTAATAACTACCGCGTCATGCAAAAGAGATGTTAAACGTCTGGAGTCATGTCACATTGGGTGTGGACATGAGGTCGCACGAGGTGCGGGCAGGCTGGGCGGGATCTTGATAGAGTTTACTAAATGACATGATTGATCGATGGATTGATAGGTTGATTGATCCATTGGACTCGACATCTGTCGACACACAGCTGGACAGACTTGGGATGTCGATAAGTCGATGCTGTTTGCAAAGTCTTGGGTCCACAAGTTCTCAACCACGCTCTAAACCATGCTCAGAGGGGCTGCAAACCTGTTGGGCTGCTCTAAGAGTGGCAGCTGGTGGGTTTTTCTTGTTCCTCTCCGTCCTCGAAGGATCACTGTTGCAGCACTCTCTTTGAGCTAATTTGTTTGGCTCTATCTATATATATATATGACTGTATATTATGATCCTTTTAGGATCTTTTGTTTGCTAGACTACACCGTCCAGTTTGGAGGGATCGCCTCATTCCGAAGTGATGAATGACTCTTCATCAAAGCGACAGATTCCATGGCTGGCTTAGATCCTGTGTCAAAACCGAACTTCGCAACGAAGGCTTTGGTGTCTGTTCTATGGACATGCAAAAGGCCTGACACCGGCAAAGGCGCCTGCCCTGCGATCTTGCTGGCTTCTATGCCACACAATACGACCCGATGTCATCCGAATCTAGTGAGCTTTGGCCGAAAACACAGGTATTCAGCTCAATACGGTTTGTCATCTGGATGCTTTCTGAATCTTTTGCGGTTCATTTGGGTTCCCAAAGCCTCCGGTTGAAGCTCGCAGGTTGCCAAGCTGCTGCTGAAGGTACACACGCACACGCTCGCCTGGAGACAAGGATTGTGGCAATTGTTGGCATGTCAAGCTTTTCTCACACATTCATATGGCAGGAACCCAACAATCAAAGGAACCAACATGATGGTGTATTTCTGTGTTGCAAAAACCAAACAATCAAAGGAACCGAACTCTTTCTGTCTTTTCTGTCGTGTTTTGGCTGTGAGTCGTGTCTCAAAGACTCCGGACCAAACAAACTGTCAGGATGGGACCCGGGCACACGGTAGCAGAATACTTGGTGGATTCGCCCCAAACCAGCTTCAACTACCCTTGGGTAGGGCGTCAGTGTTTCCGGATACAATGGGCTGCTTGTAGCCTCTCATAGTGGCTTCAGTTTCATAATCTATAGATGGCAACAAACAAATACTTCAATATATATCCGCCGACCACACACCGTGGGGTGAGGCGTGACTGTCGATGTTAGCCTTATCCTTAAGCCTTAAGCCTTAGCCTTAGCCTTAGACTTAAGCCTTAGCCTTAGACTTAAGCCTTAGCCTTAGCCTTATCCTTAGCCTTAGACCTAGTCCTTAGCCTTAGACCTAGTCCTTAGCCTTAGACCCAGACCTTACCTCCCCTACCCCTCCGGACCTTTGTTGCAGTGACGAAATCCCGACCTAAAAGCGACGTGATTGCGACGTGATTGCGATCTGATTGCGACGTGATGGTGACCTGGATTGTCCAAGATTCTGCCATCCCAATTGATTTACATCTTGGGGCACCCTCTCCACCCGCGCGGGAAAATAAGCACGGTCCAAAATGGTCCTGGGCTCGAATCCCGGGCTGGTCGCGGCGCGGTCCCGGCCAGTGCCCTTGCTTTTTCGTAGATTTTGTCACGTTTTCTGTTGGATTTATGGGATTTTCAAAGGCTTTTCTAGCATTTTCCTAGGAATGCTCTAGGCGTTGTCTAGATTTTGTTGTGTTTTCTGCTGCATGCTTTTCCAAGAATTTTCTAGCGCTTCCTCTGGTTTTTAGGTTCCCAGATTTCCCCAAAAAATTGGTAACCTTTTGCTAACCTATGGAACCTTCTAGCACCGTCCAGCGCAAAATCTAAACAAAGCCTAGAGCATTCCTAGGAAAATTCCAGGGCATTGGCCGGGAACACTAGAATCGAATAGGTTAAAAATAAGTTAATCAATTTTTGGGCAAATCAGGGAACCTAAATGCAAGAGGAAATGCTAGATAATTCTACAACAATGGAAGAAAATAGGGGAACTCCTACCCGGGTCCGGAGGGGTAGGGGCGGTCTAAGGCTAAGGCTAAGTCTAAGGCTAAGGCTAGGCTAAGGTTAAGGCTAACATCGACAGTCACGCCTCACCCCACCTCTCTGCCTAGAGCAAGGCTAGCGCTAAGGTTCTATCCCTTGGGGGTCGGCGGCTGCAGGCGGTAGCCTGGTAAATAATCCGCGCCTTGTGCGATCTAATTAGCACTCTGTATCCAACATTCTTCGTCTCCACCGCCGTTTCAATGGCACCACATCCTCCCACCGGGGAGCGGCCCTTTTGAGTGGCCGGCCCGCCGCACGTGGTCGGCACGCCTGACGCAGCACTTCAACGTCTGCCAAGAACTCGTGGGTCATTGCCACACGCTGCTTGGCCGAGAGGGCGTTGTAATCCGCCTCACCGGTGGAGATGTAAGGCATTGGACCAGTATCTCAAACGCCTTCAGACCCCAGGCATGTTTTGGGGGGACCCCATGACCCCATGTCAGATACCCCCTCAGAAGTAAAAGGGAATCTCTACCAGGGCCCCTAAGGGGTGGTTAATGGACATGCCGAATCACCTCTAAGGGGCTATCAATTGGACAACCCCAAACAGGGGCCCTGGCGCCGATGTGTTCGTTTGGCATCCGCCCACCCGCCGCTCTAGGGACTGCCTCCCCCCGCTTCTAGGGTCTATGTTTCTGGCAGTGCTTCAGATCTGGAACAGTCCTGGCAGTTGGTCTCCTGAAGAAACAACATATAGACTAACATAGTTTGGGTCTGTCCTACTAGCAATAACAGTGGATGATGATGGTTACCAAAGGCCTTGTTCAGAAATAGTGCTAATTGTTTACTGACTGTTACAGGTAATAGGACAGGCCCAATAGATATTGTGCACGGGTCTACCTCAAGTCAAGCACATGCCACATGTTCAATGATTTCTATCAACTGCTTCAATCATACACCCAACTTCCAGAAGCTATTCTTGGGAAGTTGTTCCAAAAACATCTATTCCTGTGGGTTTCGTGCCAACTTGGAGCTATGTGTTAATTTCATGGAATATGACCAAACGAATCAAAAATAGAGCATGCAAAGAGCTTCATGATTGTGATATTCTCGTTTCTTCACCCGCTTGCCGAGCCAGTGTGAGAACTAGTGTGAGGTGTAGCGTGAGGTGTAAGCAGTCTTGTTGAAAGATTGTGACCATACCTACAAATACAGTATGTTGTTTTTTCTATTTGACCCAAAAAGTATGATTCATGGGATTTCTGTTACAGTAGTGGGTTGTGATGTACGTTTAAGGAGCAGCACTGAAGCAAGCACGGCAAGCCTACTCAACCATCTTTTGTTCCATCCACATTGTGCCGTGCACATTCATGATGCCTATCAACACGGCGTCAATGTATAGATATTAGAGCCCCAATGTCAATCCCAAACGCTCCACCTATGCGGACATAGAATAGGTTCTTGCTGTTGAATGTAGGCCAACTTGGCGTTCACGGAGCGCTTATATATATATATAACTATAATATACTATAATTATATAACTTATGACCGGAGATTCGGTGCCTACCCGCCCCGAAAACAGCTGTGCCGCCGCTTGGCCCCAACCGAGGCCCCGGTCCTCGGCCCCGCCCGGCCGCTCGCCGCACGGCGCCTGCCAATGACCATTCCGCAGATGTTCCGGCACGTCTTCCCGCTGGCGCCATCGCACCTCGGTGTTGGAGAAAACGAGAAGGTACAGCTTCAGCTTCCCAAAAGAGCAGTAGCACAATGATGTAATTACTGGATTAGAATTTATGACATGTGCAGGGCAATCTGGACTATGGAATTGGCACCATTTTCACTCACACCAATTCAGTACAATAAGGTCGTACACACACCATATTAATCCCCGTAAAAGTTTCAGGGGTGACGTTGGGCCCACCAATTTGTAGTATACAAAACCGTGCGTCCTTACAAAGTGATGTAACTAGTCGAATGGCTCACTACAAAATGCATAGGCCCAACGTAGCCACTCGAGGGAGTAATTCTCTCAAAAATGATTACAAAATGGCGACCCCAACCTCACGAATTGAGTGTCGATCTTCAATGAAAACTGATGAAAAACTGAATCAGCAAATTTGAGCCGGTTTTCGATCGCGTCTGTTTCTCGAAGGCCGCCCCAGCGACCTCTGTCAGAGTGGTTCAGGAATGCCACTTGTTGGGCAAATTTCACTCTCGCTAAAGACCTGTCAGAGTGATCATCCATAAGAATGCCAATTTTTGGCAATAGTCAATCACTCTTCTGCAGCTGCAGCTGGCGTCTGGCTGCAAATGAAATTGCTAATTTCATGAATCAAGCGCAGCCATCCTTGCCGGGTGGGATTGTCCTTTCGGGACAACTGCGATTCGATAGTCTGGAAAAGCTTCCGCACTTCCGCATCATAAGCTGCTAGCGACCTCAGTGTCTTGTACCTCGGTTGGAAAAGTGAACGATTTTTCTTTAACCGCCCAAAAAGAATCACACACAGAGAGACAAGCTGCATGTGCTCGATGCAAAGCGGCCCCAATTCAAGGACACGATCAAAAGGGGCAAGCTTGGCAGCTGGGTGCTTCATCCGCATATTGCCATCACTGTCAAACACTGGATTCTTCGGAAAGGCCTCCCAATCTGCACGCCTCAGCTTCTCAAGCTTTTGACGGACAAGATCCCTTCCCTCCTTTGAACGCCGGAAGACCACATCGTCTTCATCAACGTTGACCTTGTGCTTGGACTTCGAAATCTTTCCTGCCAACTTCGCGATTGTTCCTTTCACGAGAGGCTTTTCAGCTGGCTTCTTGCCTGCGCCACCCTTGGACCCTGGAGGAGCAACCCCTGCTGCTTTTGCTGACCCACGCTTCATTGTGGGCTGCACAAGCCATCCCTCAATATCCGGAATAGAGGACAAAGCTTCAGTCGATTCTGAAGAGAGAACAAAAAGCATTGTCCCATCACTGGCAATTGGCTGTACGCCTCAGGAAACTACAAAATGCATAATAAGAGGTTTGGTGCTTACAAAATGGTATACAACTAGAATCTCCTGGTGTACTGCATGGAAGTAATGCTCAATCATCCAGATTCTACAAAATGACTGCTCAAGACGTAGCTACTACAAAATGGATTTACGTTGATAAAAGCATAGCCTCAAGACTGTGATTTGCATTTTGTAGAAATCCTTACCCAATATATAATTTATTCAAAAACACAATAAGTTAAGAATAGTATAGAATAGTTAAGATACCCATCACATGCAAGTGGCTGAACACCTGCGAAAACTACAACATGCAACATCAGATGTTGTCTGTTTACAAAATGACGTACAACTAGGTGCCCTGGTGAACTGCATGGAAGCAATGTGCAATGATTGAGCTTCTACAAAATGACTGCTGAAGACGTAGCTGCTACAAAATGGGCTTAAACTAACAAAAGCATAGCCTGAAGACTGTAATGCGCCTTTTGTAGCAATCTATACCTGAAAGGCACATCAAAAAACATCAACACTCAACAAAAAAGGCACTCTTCTCACAGCTGAGAATGGCCACCAACGATTCGACTCTAACCACCCAAGCTGTTGATGTGGCGCTGCATTTCCATCGGGCAGGGTCTTCCTCAGACAACATCTCCATCTCAGCGACCTTGAAAGCCGGACAGGATGCTATAGGAGTCTCCCCCAGATGGGGCTTCGGTTGCTTGATCCCTTTCCATACTGTAAGCACCATGCCCACCTCCACACCACAATTGTTCGGAGTGTGAAAGATCACAATGTTGCCAGGCCTCAATTTATATAACAACAACGTTGAAAAACATATTGTGACATCATTGAACATATTAAAGCCAGGTCAAAACTCAAACCGGCTTTTAAAATATATTAAAGTCAGAATGCCAAGACAACTGCAAAGCAAAACTTTGCAAATGTGTGTGTGTGTACAAAATGTGTATAGTATGGAACGGTACTACAAACAGATTCAGAATAGGCACATCAGCCGCTCTGGTGCCGCAATGGGCAATTTGAGTTGTTCTTGAGCAGATCGCACGAGTTCCTTCCACTTGTCCAGCCGTCCACATCGAGCTCTGTACACTGGATCCTCCTTTTCGCTCCTCAACTGTGCCAGCATTCTCTCATTGTACCTTGGAAAGGCACTGGTCACATCTCCCTATTTCCTATCATTTTGTAGCAACTCAGGTTGATTGAGGTCATTGTGTAGGGATTGGAGTTGTCATTGGAGAAAATACAATGTGAATCAATGTGACAATATACATCAATGTGCTGGAAATCATAAAACGGATAAAAATGGAACAAAGCAATACAAAACATATGCACACTGCATACATATGCGAAAATAGTCAAGGGACTGATGCCAGTTAAGGCCCTTGCTGGCTCTGCGACAATTCCGCGGGTTGCGGACAAACGTGATGTCTGACCCGCCCTTGGCGGCTCGCAAACGGACACAAAGGCGCCAAATAGCATTGACCCGATCCCCCTTCAATGCCATGGCTTCTGCCAATGTCGAAGGAAGATGATCAAGCTCTTTCTGATACTGTGGACTGCGGCTTGATTCATCCCTGAATGGCTCCATTACACTCTCCTTGTCGATCAGGCGGCTCAGTTCATTCCTATCTGGAGCTTTGCGGAGATCTGATTCAAGGACGTCCACGAGCTGGATATCTGAAGTCCCCGCTTCTTCTCCTTCCTGCGCATTGATCTCCCGCAGGTCCTTGGATTCGCCTTGAAGTTGGGTGAGAAAGTCCATACATTCCATGCCTGCCTCTGGTGCTTTCTCCACGGGGACGTCGATCTCGTCCTCTTCCAAGGGAGCATTCTCGGGCTTGGTGAAATCCTCATTGTTCTCGCACAAACGACGGTAGGCTGCTTCTAGAGTGTCCACTTTCTCGCCGGTGCAAAAAGCCACCAGGGCCAAGCTCGATTCCAAAGCTCTCTGGCAGCAAAGCTGAAACCTGAATGGGCTACAAAATGACGTTCTAGAAATGCACGCTACAAAATGAAGTGACTGGCCATGACTGGCCCGCAAACCATCTCTACTACAAAATGCGTTGTTATTCAAACGTCGATTACAAAATGCCTGCTTCAATCAAACTGATACAGCTCACTCAAGAAATCCCCGGCTCAAGAATTGTTACTGTATGGATTGTTACTGTTGCTGGTATGGCAAGAAGCTCCAGGTCGCTGAGCTTCTTCTCCATAGGCAGTTTGGATTCCTTCTCCTGCTTCATCAGCTTGTTCATCTCTTGAGATAACTTCATGCTTTGCCTCGCGCTTGCTTGGAAATAGGACCTTGCGGTATGCTGTGCGTTGGACGCTTGGCTTCGGATCTGGCCAAAAAAATTGTTCCACTCCTGAGATCGATCATCCACTTGACCCTACAAAGTGGATATAACAGAACTAGACCTACAAAAAGAATACGCATATGGTTATATTATAATGCATTATTATATCCATATACATACATACATATATACAGATGTATACAGTAATTACTGGTTTATTGTGTTCATTTGCATCCAATCTTTCCAGTAATCTTTCCAAGGCTCCTATTTCGGACAACCTTGATTGGCCTCTTGTCCAAGGCGAGAAGTCGGGGCTCTTGGTCAAGCACACCACAATGACGCTGAGCGCAACTCCTTGGAGGTTGTGGCACGTTTGGGGCGCCATGAATAACGATCCACGAGGTAGGGTTCTGGCGCTGCAAAGGGATTCAGCTGCCATGCGAAATAGGTCAATGCAAAGGAAGCCTGATAAAGCGACCTCGCAACGTTGTGCAAGCCGTAGGTCTTTGTGCGTGCATGGCGCAATACAAAGCGCCACCACGCAGTTGTGGACAGTCATTCCGTGCAGTGCCCATGGTATCTTCGTATTGGCCATGTGCGCGTCCTCATGGTCGAAGCAATCATCAGCCAGAAAGTTGAATGGACCCTTAATAAAAAAACAATGAAAGACAATAAACATCAATAAACAACATCCATAGAAATTCTATGAATTTCATTGAATTTCTACTAACTGTTGGCATTAAGCTTGAGCCAGGAAGCTGGATCCTCAACCAAGAAGAAAGGATTGTAGTATAGCGCGTTGAGCGCGTCGGACATAGGCTCTTGACGAGAGTAGGCTGCTGGCGGTAGGCCATGACCAGTAGCAAGGGTCAAGTCCGTCCAGTAACGTCCGTAGTGCACAACTCGCAAGCTCGAGTTGCATTGGCCGGCCGAGTTTTTTGTGACTGTGGCCTGAGAGTGCCCGACTACAATTTGCAAAACAGAATCATTTGCGCTACAAAATACACTAGTATCAACCAGCATCCACTATCTGACTATGACTTACCAAAGTAATCACTGAACTACTGCTGATACAGATTAAGACCATTGGAATCCATTTGACACGCAAGGATTCTATTGGTACATATATATGGTACGGATTGTACATATTGAAACTATTGAGTGAACCATATAGAGAACCATTTTGTAGGAGGCGTGGCTTCCAGAGTGCTTTTTGTAGACTGTCTCATGTTGCTGCTAAGGCTGCTAAGGCACAGGGTCCTGGTAATCCCCAAACTGTCTCCTTCAAGTACAAAACCTGGTTGACAGGCAATCTTGGAAGGTTGTGCTTTGGCAACGGCAGCACCTCCAAGTCACGGAAGAATGGAATGTCCTGAATCCAAGAGGTCTCCACTGCATCGGTTTGCCCGTGAAGCAAGGCTCTCACAAAGTTGTGGTTGGTAGCAGAGTCAAAGACAACGCACTTAACCAAGTGGCCAAACTGAAGCATGAAGGTGCCTACTACACGAAGCATGTTCAATGAGGCCAGCGTGCCGTCACCGCCTGTTCCCTGCTGCATTGGCATCGAAGCTGCTGACAGTGATTGCTTCCGCAATCCTGCTGGATCCCAAAGCAGGAATTCGTACATAATATTCGCCCTTGGAACAGATCTCACATCCACGGAAGTGTCCTCCTCCAGGCTTATGAAGCTCACACCAAGGCCATCAGAGTTCACATCCCAAGCGCCGCCAACCAATCCACGCTTTCCGTGGAGAACCATCTGAGACAAAGAGGGGGTTAGGTATGTGGCATCGAAGGCGCAAACGAGTCTGCCTCGGACATGAACACCGGACATCAACAAGCTTGCAGCACATTCCAATTATATAGCTCAAACTTCCTACAAAATGAACAAATAAGGAATCAGCTCTACAAAATGCATCGCAATGGATCAAAATAATTCAAAACGTGATTCTTGGCTGTTTTGGACGTGTGGAATTCAGGACTCACTTCAGGCAACGGCCACGTCTACAAAATGCTTTGTACTGTGTCAAGGCACGAGAACTACTGCATCCGTTGTGGCGAACATACCGCTGGTCGATCACCAATGCATTCTCTTTGAGAATGGATGGCATTGCTAGGGCCAAAGCTGGTCGAGGCAAGCTGTATTTCTCCAGATCCTCCACATTGGTTCTCAACGAGGCAGCCGATATACCAAACTCCTTTGCCATCTTTGCGTTCCCAGATGCAATGGCAATCCTCATCCCGGCGTCAGCAATGAGTGTGGCTTCACGGGATGTCTCCTCCTTGTTCCGCCGGCCAGCCATAGTTGTGATGTTTCTCGACTGTTTATCCACCATCCGCATGCATTGGAGGGATAACCCCACCAAAAAAGGATGCTCCTCTAGGGTTCCAGAGAGCGCAGCGGACGCTATCTTCATGTTGGTAAGGTCAGCGTCACTGCATTGGCCTGAGGCAATGGCGGATGAGAAAGTGCCAATGATGTCCTGAAAGCGGTCAGGGATGGTTTCCACATTGCACTTGAGGCACGGCTGCACGATTGTGCTGACAAACATCTTCTGCGTATCTGTGGTGTGGACTTCTGGAGCCGACAGCCAGCTGATTCTCACGAACTGCTGCCTCACATACACGAGAATACAAAAACACTCCCTGAATCTCCTCAACTATAAAAAGCAAAGACATTACAATAGGTCTACAAAATGATAGACCATGGATGGCAGTGGTTCAAAATCTGATGAGAAATGGTCACAGGCAACAATAACATATATATATATATGTACACACATATATACAAAAACATACAAAAACCATCCAACACCCAGTCACAATTGAGAATTGTTGAGTCCAACGATAGTATTCAACTTCTTTGGATCACTTCGGTAGAGCCCACCACGCTTCATCTCCTGAACCGTTTCCGTGACTCTATCTTCCCCTTGGAAGAGTCGAGCATGGAGCAGCTTCGCGGCAAAGAACTTGAGAGCATGCTTGTAGACAGTTTTGACAGTCCCACGGCAAGATCCCACTGCCATACACTTGGAACAAACTGTCCGCGATCCTACTCGCTTGGAATTGGAAGAGAGCTGTCTCTCGCAGTTGCGCGATCTGATGTGCCAGGTTGGGTCATTGGGCGGCTGCCAGTATTCGTGCCTCGCAAACCTCGGCAAGTTTGTCATGCCTGCCCAGTCCGCAAACTCTCTCACATAGAATTGTAGCACCCCTGCTTCTGGAGAAGCCTCCACCCGAAAGCCTTCACATTGGTTCATCTCCTCTCCGCCATCAAGGTCGCCTGCATTCAAGCAAATTGAAGCCAACTCAGGTGAACACTTCTCTACACAATGATTGATGCTTAGCTGCACGCTACAAAATGCATCACCATCTTCAGTTTGTTTGTGTGAACACTTTGCATAGTTGGAGATTTATGCAGTCCATGTCTTTTACAAAATGATATTCATTTGACTGTTCTTTACAAAATGAATCGCAAAACAACTGATTAGATTGGAAACCCTTGGTTCTCTCGCCTGGCGGCTGCCCGTTTCCAAAGTGATCCAGACCGTCTCTGGATTGCAAAGCTCTCTGATGCTTGCCACTTGATATGTGTTGGTTCAAGAAGTGCTGCATTGTTTCCTTCTTCAGTGCACATAGATCAATGACCTTGCCCATTGGAAAGGATCGTGTTGTGCACAATCGGCAACGCACCGGAAACTTCTTCTGATGTTGACCGTTCTCAAGCATGACAAAGTCAGGATAGTGGCTGCTCATCCAAGCAACTGCATCAAACTTGGTGGTCTCCTCAGCAAGGGATGCCACTGTCTCATCAACTTGACCTTTGTCTGCTGTGGAATTTTCTGGCCGGTCTTCAGCAACAGCAACGGTGCCATTCTCCGAACCTCCCTCTGGAGCCGCCTCCGGAGCTGTCTCTGTCGCCTGGGGATTCAAAGCGGCCTCTATGGCTTCACGAATATGGTCTGGTTCGACGGAGAAAGAGCTCAGCAATCGCAAACAGGTAGTACACTTGGGCTTATGATCCGGGTTGCTGACAAGCTTGTTTTGCAATGTCACATAGCCACCGTCACTGCATGTAGACACCTTCTTCAAAGGCTGGTCCCTGCAACAATGGCAAAAAAGCCATACAAATTCATACAAATTCCACCAATAAATCCCTATGAACTGTCAAACCTGTTATGTATTTTCATATGTTTCATGATCAGTACTGCTAGCATGCATTTTCTACAAAATGGATTCACACTCACTAGCAAAACAATGCAAAACATATTTTACGTGATCAAGAAACCCTGGTGGACCTACAAAAAGGTGTTGCCATACATCATTTCTACAAAATGCAATCAACTTGTCCCTTGTCTACAAATGTCTCCGAGCCTTGAATGTTCACTCTGGAAACGTGGCCAGGTGAGCCCGAGGCTTACGATATACTTCTTCAAGGCAGCTAGCTGGACCACACTTACACTCACGTTCTTCTTCTTGCAGCGATTGTGGGTCTTGCGCTTGATCCTCCTCTCCAGGCCATCTGCTCCTTCCACCAAGGTCATTGCAGCATCTGCCTGACCTACCTCATCTTCGGGAACTTCCGCACTTTTGGAAGCATCGTCGGCAACTTTGCGGGGCTTCCGAAGTTGGAGAGGTTCTTTCTCACGCCTTGGAACGAAGTCGGCAGGCTGGCAATTCTGAACAGTCTCTGGCTTTCCCTTCTCCTGCTTCTTCTGCTTCTTCTTCTGAACTTTCTCCGGCGTCGCCAGCCGAGGTTCCTTGTCAGCACCCTCTACCCAACCTTTCTGCTTTTTTGGCGTCGTCTCACATTGGGTGGACTCTTGGCTCGCTGCAGCTGCTTTGGATGCATTGGCTTGTCCTTTTGCACCCAAGGGCTTCACACCCTGTGTTGGAACAGAAGGCCTAGCACACCTAAAAGCTGTGAAAATCTCCTGCCATGCTGGCTTGCTAGCTTTTGCCTTCCAAAGTCGGGCTAGCTCCTTCAGGAACAAAGCAACACAATGCAAACAGAATATATATGGATACATCTGAATTGAATTGAATTGATCATAATTGATAGCAACCAAATATATATATATATACATATATATATATACATCCATACATCCATATCCTACAAAAAGATGTGGCAAACCAGTACCTCTACAAAATGATATGCAGTTCAGAAGTGCAGTCAGCCACAAAATGCGACAAACGTATAAAATGTGTTTCTCATTGTTTCTCTATGTTTCTCTGGATGACTGCCGTGTCCTGGCGCAGCAAATGAATCTCTCCGTCTGAAGCTTGCATTGGCTCATCATCTCCAAGGATACCACGCTCCAAAGCAAAGACCGAATGAAGGGCACAATTGCCATCAGCAGGCACCTCCTCTGCGACCACGTCCACGGCGTGAAATGCCTCCACAGCTGCAATCAGTCTTTCAAGCTTTTGCGACTCCTCAATCACAGACTCCAAAGTGGCGTCCTCCTCTGCACTCAACCCCTGACCATCACCCATAGCTTCCATCAACCTGAATTGCAAGCTTGATTTCAATTCGGCAAGGTTGTAGACGACGGTCGCTTTGTGGAGGTCAAATGCAGTGGGGTTGTGGTCTCTGTGCCATGCAGGCAAGAAGTGGTTCAAGCTGCTGTGGCAACCGCGTGTCAGGTCTGCACGACACATCACCACCAACCAGCAAGACTCCGCAGTGAAGTCGCTCTCATCCCAACTTGCTTCTGGAGAATGGGGAATGATATCTTTGATCATGTCACGCACGGATCGTGCCTGCAACTGAGGTGAGTCATCGTAGTGAAGCACTGCAAGTTCTTTTCCGCGGCTCTGTGCCAGGAGAAAGATGTCGATGCAGCCCAAGTAGACACAGTCGCCTTCCACTACTTTGCAATAGTGCTCCTTGGCCAGCCACCAATCAGTATGGCATAACTCTAATTTCTATTGGCTTTACAAAATGAAAACATTCAGAAATAGACTCTACAAAATGCATGTCTGTAGACTCTATATGAAACCAAAAGCTACCCGGATGTTGCAAAAACAGTGTACTGTAAAGACATATAAACACATGTAAATAACAACTATATATATAACTATCTATCTTATATGCGTTCATCACCTCTATTCAACACCTAACATATCCTAACATGGTTCAACACTTGATGATGCACACACACACACATTTTCCATATATGTATATCCAAGTATATCCAAGTATCAATTTCTTTTTTTTACCTTTTCGTCGCTTACACTTGGTCCTGTGCGAAGAACAGTACCATCCCTGGGCAATTGATAAAAAACATGATGTCCTTGCTACAAAATGCAACATTGATAACTGTGCTCTACAAAATCAATTCTACAAAAAGAATCAAAAAGATGCAAACGACAGAGACTGTCCCATGCCACCACCCGTACTCTCACCCATTGATGTCCTGATTGACCTCCGGTGGCATCAGGCTGCAACTCTCCTGGCGGAACACTCCCATGTTGTCAGCTGAGCTCTTGGTTATGATGTGTTGTGTCAGTGTATTGTTGCACAATTGCATACAATTGCAAGATCGGCCAAAAAAGTGCATTGGCTCTTTTCTTGACTGCTAGATACCCGTGAGGTCTTATGAGGACTCACGAGGCTTTTGTTTTTTGGTAACACTGACTCTGTGCCAATGTTGCCGAATTAATAATGTACGGCTACAAAATGAAGAGACACCATGTCATCTCTATAAATTGCGTACTATATCATACAAAAGCATTGAATGAAATTGGATGAAATTGGTAACTTGCTCAGGTTCCTAGCTCCAGATTTGCTGTTCTTACCGTTCTTACCATCAAAAGCCATTCCTGTGTTCTACAAAATGCGTGTGCCTCTTGTAGTCTGTACAAAATGATCTCCTACTCATAGTCCTAGTCCTAATCCTCTCACTGAGTTTCTGAGCCGTCTGAAGCGTCAAACTGCCACACAGATGGTAGATTGCCATGCACTTCTGGTTGCGCCAACGCCACAGATTCCACCACCTTCTTCAAGATCGCCTCCAAATAGGAAACATGCTCCTTCAGTGAGTAAATCTCCATCTGCTGCTGGACTATGACTGCTGTTGTCCCACTCTCCACATCAGCATGGAATTTCTGGCGAAGATCGTATTCTTCCTTCAGCTTTGCAAAACGAACCAAGGTCATGTGCTCCCACTTGCAGCTTGAGAAGAAGCGGCCCACCATCTGACGGAACCACATCTGATCCCGATTCCAAACTTCTTCAAATGTTTGACCTTTGTGAACCGTGCCAAAACGGACCTTCATAGCTTTCAAATCATCCAAGCTGAGAGATCGCAGCCGCTCCAGATCCCTGGCAGCAGCCTCCAACACCTGCTCCTGCCCGTCTGGATTTTTCATGGCTGCCATATGCTGACAGGGTGTCGCAGCAGGTGACCAGGTATTCACACACACACTGATGAAATACGAGCCAAAAACCAGGAAAGTCAAACATTTGCTGGTCAAAACACAAGCGCCAGAACAACGCATTACAGTATATAAGTATCACTACAACATGAGAAGTTCCAAAGTAGTCTCTACAAAATGATACAGACTGATACAGAATGCAGATTCCTACAGGTGCCAAATCTCCTGAGCTGCGATCGTTCTTTACAGTGGACTTGCGGGGTTTTGCCTCTCCTGGAAAAAACGCTTTGATTGAGCATTGAGGAAAAAGAATGAAAATGATCGGAAACGTGCGCATGCAAGTTCTTGGCCTGACTGCAAAAAAGTGTGTGTATACGCATGTGTATAAGCCTGTCGACTAGAAACTGCCCATAGTCCAACATGAACCTTCTTCAGCCTTCTTCTACAAAATGATGTCTCGTACACATGTCCTGGTGACTGCTTCAATGCAGCAGCCTGGGCTTCTTCAGGAACTTCTGAATTTCCTGGCTGGACATGGAAAGACCATGAAAGAGCCAAAAGCATCCAGAAGCTAAATGCATGCATCTTTCACAGCTCCTTGATTTTGGTGCGTCTTCTTTGGTTTTGGTGTGGTCGGAGTAGCCAGCTTAGCTCCTGGCCCATATTTGTATAAAATGGTGTGTTGCCCAATCCCCTTTACAAAATGAATCAAAATAGATCAACATGGTTCTACCAAAAATATCCAAAAATATATTCCAGGCAATTCGACTACCCTTGCAAAGGCTTATCAAAGGCTCCTCTCAATTCTTCTTGCCAATTCCACTTGGTCTTCTTGACTTTGAGCATGTAGTACTGAAAGTCCGCTAGGTCACACAACGGGTCACCAACGTCAGAACCCCATTCCTGGCCATAGCTATGTTCAACAGTTTGAGTTACCATCATCCGCTTGATAAAGTTGCTGAAGTCGGTCTTGGATCTGACAATGGAGCACAGCTTGTACAAGTCAATCTCTGGTAGCAGCTCAATCAATGCTTCTTGACCAGCCAGCTTGTCCTCGCAAAACCCGTTGGAATGAAAGGTTCAAATGACAACAGCTGCAGCTCCTGAGGGATCGCTGGAGTGGGCGGCGCAGTTCCTGGTGATTCGCACTCTCTCGGCCGAAACGATATGTGCTACACAATGCGAAGCCCTCACATCATCTCTACAAAATGGTTGAGCATATATTGTCTTTCTTGCTCATCCTTAGAGCTCACTGGCAAAAAAAGCAATAGGTCTTACAAAATGCATTCCCACATATCTCCTGAAGATCCTGAAGTGCCTTCTCCAGCTTCCTTCTTGAGTTTGGCGAGATCCTTGCAGATCCCACGGGCAGATTCCACCGAAACGATCCGAAACGGTTTAACATGGTTTAACAATGTCGAACGGACATTTACAGATAGTAAATGAAAAGAAGTGAAATGATCCAGAATGATCCCAAAATGAACAAATGAAAGAAAAGTAATCACACTGCATATCACTGCATCATAATGGGATAGAACTAACTACCGGGAGACAATGCCAGGAAAACAAACTGAGATATATAATAATCACTTGCAATGGCCAACAACCCTACAAAATGCATCCTACAATGTTGTCTGTTTACAAAATGGATCAAAAAGGTATGCAACGAGAGTCCTCTGGTGCCTTGGCAGCAACGTTCGTGGTAGACGGACGGGACAGTGCTTTTCCTGGTGAACATTTTGACTCGGGACCGATTGAAAAAACGGATAGAAAGCCTTCACATCATCTCTACAAAATGCAGTCTCTCATGCTTATCCTTAAGGCTAGAAAAGGCCTACTCCCAAATGCTCAAAACCAGTCCCCCCCACCTCATATACATTTCTAGCTCTGTTTCAGTCTTTGTTTCATATCTTCTACACTACAAAATGGATCAAAATGGTGACAATTATTCAAAAATATTCAAGTATCGTAGTTTCATGTAGTTTCTATATCCTATATCGTACAAAGTGGCTAGAAAGAGAGCTGTAACAAAGGCATTCCCACAAATTCGCACATATCCGAATCCTGCAGTGTTTGCTTCAGGTTCCTGCTTGGACGTGGCCACATCCTCGCAAATCCCACCCACAAAGAGATTCGTGAAGTGTTTTAACGCTGCTTCCTTTTTGAATAATGAAAGGCAATGGAAGACACATGAACACATTGCCAAAATGAAACGACAAATCCTTTGCGGAAGCTTTCGGGGTAGCCAGAGGTTCCAGCGCAGTTCCTGGTGAACATACCGATTCGCACTCTCTCGGCCGAAACGATATGTGCTACACAATGAGAAGCCCTTGCTTCATCTCTACAAAATGTGTGAACATATATTATCTTTCATGCTCATCCTTAGAGCTCACTGGCAAAAAAACAATAGGTCTTACAAAATGCATTCCCACATATCTCCTGAAGATCCTGAAGTGCCTTCTCCAGCTTCCTTCTTGAGTTTGGCGAGATCCTTGCAGATCCCACGGGCAGATTCCACCGCAACGATCCGAAACGGTTTAACATGGTTTAACAATGTCGAACGGACTTTTACAGATAGTAAATGAAAAGAAGTGAAATGATCCAGAATGATCCCAAAATGAACAAATGAAAGAAAAGCAATCACACTGCATCATAATGGGATAGAACTAACTACCGGGAGACAATGCCAGGAAAACAAACTGAGATATATAATAATCACTTGCAATGGCAAACAACCCTACAAAATGCATCCTACAATGTTGTTTGTTTACAAAATGGATTAAAATGGATCAAAAAGGTATGCAACGAGAGTCCTCTGGTGCCTTGGCAGCAACGTTCGTGGTAGTAGACGGACCGGACAGTGCTTTTCCTGGCGAACGTATCAATTCGGGCCCTATATGGCCCTATTGATCACTATTGCAAAATACATCAAAATACACACAATACATTGAACAACTACAAAATATGCAGTCTACAAAATAAGCATTCATCGTACTCATCCTTATGGCTCGCTAGAAAGAAAGCTATACCAGCTCTAACAAAGACGTTCCAACTATATAATTCCCAGAAATATCCGAATCCTGAAGTGTCTGCTTCAGGTTCCCGCTTGGACGTGGCCACAGCCTTGCAAATCCCACACGCTCACAAAGCGATTTGTGAACAAGGAGGTACACATGAAATCAAATGAACATGGGCAGCTCCTCCGAAGCAATATTTGGAGTGGTCATAGTGGTCGGAGAGGCCAGTGCAGTTCCTGGTGAACATGTCTCTTTGGGGCCCTGACCAAAAATACTACACAATGAACAGACCTCGAATACGCTCTATAAAATGCATACGCTCATGCTCATTCTAAGGATAACTCAAATATTTATAAATATTTCCCTGACGTGCCTGCTTCAGCTTTCAGCTTGAAAGATCCTGGTTTCGGGATGTTTCGGGCGCTAGCAACATGTTCTTTATGCATAATTGAATATGATTGAGATAGATTGAGCAGAATCTGGCAGAACATTGCAGAACTACCAAGAGAATCCAAGAGGTGGAAAAAAACCACAATAATTGTATATATTTGTATATATTTGTCCCATACAGTATCGGCCCTATTATGCCCTATTTATTTTAAGTGCCACAAGCATCCAGAACCTAAATGCATAACAATGCATAACATATTTCACAGCTCCTGGAAGTGGGCGCCTCTTCCGCTGTGGTTCTGACGTGGCCAACGTAGCCAGCTTAGCTCCTGGCCCGTATCTGTATAAAATGGTGTGTTGCCCAATTTCCTTTACAAAATGAATCAAAATAGATCAACATGGTTCTACAAAAAATATATTCCAGGCAATTCGACTACCCTTGCAAAGGCTATCAAAGGCTCCTCTCAATTCTTCTTGCCAATTCCACTTGGTCTTCTTGACTTTGAGCATGTATTTCTCAAAGTCCGGTAGGTCACACAACGGGTCACCAGCGTCAGTACCCCATTCCTGGGGATAGGTGTCTTCAAGAAATTCATTTTCCACCATCCACATGATAAAGTTGCTGAAGTCGGTCTTGGATCTGACAATGGAGCACAGCTTGTACAAGTCATTGTCTGATAGCTGCTCAAGTGATGCATCTTGGGCAGCCGGATTGTCCTCGCAAAACCCATGGGAAGGAAAAGTTCAAATGACAACAACTGCAGCTCCTGAGGTAAGGCTGGAGTGGCTGGCATAGTTCCTGGTGAACATACCGATTCGGACTCTCTCGGCCGTATCGATATGCGCTACACAATGCGAAGCCCTCACATCATCTCTACAAAATGGTTGAACATATAAGATCTTTCATGCTCATCCTTAGAGCTCACTGGCAAAAAAACAATAGGTCTTACAAAATGCATTCCCACATATCTCCTGAAGATCCTGAAGTGCCTTCTCCAGCTTCCTTCTTGAGTTTGGCGAGATCCTTGCAGACTCCACGGGCAGATCCCACGGGAAGGGTCTAACCATGGAATGGACTTGAATATACTTGAATGGATATATGAAAAGAATTGAAATGTGCATAAAGGTTCAACAACATTCCTACACACGATCATAATGAGAGACAATGCCGAGAACATCAAAACGGCTCCAAATTAAGATACCCATCACTTGCAAGTGGCTCACTGCGAAACCCACAAAAGGCATCATACAAAGTTGTTTGTTTGCAAAATGGAATGCATCTAGATTCCCCTGGTGTAGTGCACGGCAGCTCCTCCGAAGTAATGTTCGGAGTGGTCAGAGAGGAGGCCAAGGCGGTTCCTGGTAAACATGTTGCTTTGCGGCTACCAAGACACGCAGGTTTTTTACACGATGAGCGGACCTAATATCATGTCTACAAACTGCGTGCGCCTGTGTTTCTTACTTAAACAAAACCCCCGCTGAGCTCCACAACCTGCCTTAACAATCCTTAACCCGTGTCCTGATTTCTGCTCGGTTTCTTCCTTGGGCTCACCTCCTGTGCTCGTCGTTGGCGCGCCCTCAAGGCAATCATGGAATGCAAGCAACAGCTCTTGCGTACGAGCACTGCGACTAATTACCACTGTAAGGCTGGAAGATGCTGGGACACCAACATCTTTTACTTCAGCGGCGGTGCCAGGACCTGTCGATTCCTGAGACACTACACAATGTATGTAGTAGACTCCAATGCTACAAAATGAAATACTACAGAAATCTACAGAATGTCTCTATGACAGATGTGGCTACCTGCAACTGCTGTCTCAAAATAGGTCTGCGCAATGCATTAAACGGTTTAGACGTTTTCTGGCAGGATCCTAGCTCTACAAAAAGAGCTTCCGATGTCACTAATAGATTGCGCATGATGGCGCATGATAGCGTGTCCGAGCGCGTCACTTGTTATTCTGAAACGCGCTGTGCGGCTTGATACGATATCAAAACAACAACAGAAAGCGTACAATGTCTAGCTATATATATACATATGGCTATATAAACTTATATATGTATATGTATATATATATATGTTTTTCAGTTGCCAATGTGTGGCCTGGAAATCAGATTCTCCGACTTTCCTTCACAGCCGCTAAATGCAAAAAAAACAGAGTACCGCTGGCATCGGCACAAAAGTCGTAGAAAGGCACAAAGCTTTCAGGAAACACCACCAATCTGAGCTGTGCATCTCTCGGTGGTTGAAGCATTGTGCACTGCATTGTGCCCATTCCCACCCTTCGAATCAATGCACTACAAAATGCACAGAACTCATTAAGCACTACAAAATGAATGTACAGTTTCAAAAGGAAACACTGTCTGGGAAACTGATATCTTGGGTGGCTCTGAGGTTGGGGATTCTTGCCCAGCAATCCCTTAAAGAAAAAGGATGAAAGATGATGGATCAAACCAAGTGAAGGGGATCAGGATGTCTTTGTGGCATCTCCCTCTTCTCGTTGTCGGCTTAATTAAATATTTGCAACGTGCCACAGAGCTGCACAAAACACTCCACCAATCCAAACTGTCTGGATCTGTGTGGTTCAAACATTCTTGCATCTTGGTGCATGGTGTGTGTTCTTTGGTTAAACCACAAGCTCAATCAATCACATGCACCAGTGGTTCTTCGTCAGCATCCGGGATGTTTACAATCTCACGGCCGAAGGCCTGAGCCTTAAGCCAGCAAATCAGGACACGTCGGCAGAAAGCTCGAGGAAACGTTGCGCTGGACGGTAGGTCCCGTCCACCATGCCAGCCCCATTGGCCATTTGGCTTCAAGGCCTTCACCGTATAAACCTGGGTGACACAGATCCATGCCGGTTACAGTTATCCATTTCATTCCATTTGTATGACAATTTGTAACTGCAACTTCAGTGGGTTGGCAATCTGAATCAAAAGGCGGGCTCCAGACAAGAAACCTTTCCCACTTTTCTCTTCATGTTCCGCTGCACCAGTCTGTCCTTTTTCACAGGTAAACAATATTCTGTGAGAAACCCAACAACTTGTTACAAAATGCATCATGACTGATTATAGTCTACAAAATGCATAGAAGTAAATGTCAAAAAAAGACACGTCCAAAATTCTTGCGTCGTAGGATGTAGATCTTCTACAAAAAGACTGATGGCCCACTAAAACTTTACAAATTGCATCAACATATGCTATCCAGTGTTCCCATGTGTTCCCCATGTCCTTGAACTTTTGACGGCTGCTGCTCGGCAAAGTTCTTCGGAGAGCCGCTATGCTCCTCATTCAACTCAAATCCGCTCCATTCCAAATGAATTGGTGGCGTTCCTTCCCAATCAGATTCCTTTCAATAAGCTAACTTATAGTTTATGAACATTTATATAACTATATAGATATAATTAGATTCATTGACAATAGGTCCCTGGCGCCATATTGCTCTGAAGATGAGTGCATTTGAGCATGTCATGCCCAAAATAGCAAAGCCAAGTGGTGCAAATGAACCTAAGAAAAGCTTGTACAAAATGGTTCAGCACATGCAATTGCAGTACAAAATGACCTTGCAATGACTGCCCATGTCTGCCACGCAGCATTGACAAAAGGGAAGTGATATCCTGCATAAAAGGCTGCTTATAGCCCCAAGATCCCGATGGTTGTTCGATCACGATGTAGAGGGATGGCTTGAAGTTGTGCAACAGTTCAAGGAAGCAGGCCTCCAAAGCGCATGTGTATGCGTGTGTGCTTTCTTCCACACTACAAACAACATCATTTTGTAGAGTCATATAAAAATATACTGCATTTTGTAAGTAATATGTTCGTGTATGTTCCATTTTTGATTCCACTTGAGCCTCTTGTATGCTATTGCGACACTCTTGACTCCAAGCGACAAAATTTTTCCAAATTCGCTGGCATAGTCTGACCTTATACCTTGATTGATCACCTTCTGGATTCTCTGCGCAGCGTTTATGCACCGAAGCACACGCTGGACCCAGCAAAGAACATGGCGGTGATGCCATCACCAAAGCATTGTCCCGAAGTCTCGGCAATGAAAACAGAATATTTAATCGATGACTTTCATCTACTTCCAAAAAACTGCAAGCTATCTGAAATACAGGTAAGCAGCTGGAATGCCAACTCTAGGAGTGTCATGAAGCCAGATGAACTGCAAATATCATGATGCTCGTTCAGTTTTATGTCATAGGTTGTCGCCGCGAACCCTTCCGACTGAAAAGTGGTAGCCATTCGCTGAGATGCCCCAAAAACATCGAGCAAGTGATAGGTTTGCTGGATTGTCTGTGATGTTGAACGCATCCACTCCAACAACGCGGGCATAGATTTCTCTGGCTGGAACCACCTAGTAGAGTAAACAAAGCAGGAGAACACAACATCGTTTTGTAGATAGAAACCTGACAAGTACCATTTTGTAGAAGATAGTCAAGCTAAGTTACTGCAATATCAAACACTGCTGAACCTTTTGCCGGTCATTTCAATAAACCTGTCATTTTGTAGGCTGTGAAGGGCAACATTTACTGCAACCTTGCAGGATATTGCAGGCATAGAAACTATCCGGTTGAAACCACCTATATAGTAGAATAAATCAAAGCAGGATAACGCAATATCATTTTGTAGATAGGTATTCTGTCAGCTACCATTTTGTAGAAGACGTTAAACTTGATGAAAAGAAAAGTTGGTGTAACAACAAAGACCAACTCAACATTGCATATGTCATTTTGTAAAATGACACCATTTAAAAATCAATTTGTAGTGATAATCTTGGTATATCTTGGTTAAAAAAACACATTCATTTCTCCAAGCAGCAGTTCTTCAGATGTGACGCTACTAGTATCGTCCTGCACCCCACCGCGAGCAGCATGAGTAGCAGCCACCATCAGCATCAAGATGCATGCTTTTGCCACTCGCGCCATGACAGAACACAGGTATTCACAGTTTCTATGCGCTAGAATTTGGTTCCCGGTCAGTCAGCTGCCCTTGAACCAACCCAGTCCACAACAAGCGGGAAATCTCTCAAAGCGAGCGCAAAAGATCATTGTTTTTTAACGATCCGGCTGATGTCTGCCAAAGTTTCTGAAGTGGTCTTCTTCTTCGGCTTGGCCTTCGAGATAACAAGAGTCCATTTCCATTCATTGCATTCCCTCGGCACGTCCCAATACGTCCCACCCTGCCTCCCCTCCATTCCAAAAGGAACAGGCAAAGATACATTTATTTTTGCATTTCTTGTATGCAGGTTGGATTTGGCTTGATTTGGCCAAGAAACTCATCCCAATAGCAATGGTGGTGGCTCTTTCGGTTGTTCGGACCAAGCAATTCACATCGCGTCACTTAGTTTCGCAGTTGGCTTCCAAGAATCTCAGAATTAAAAAACAATTTCAAAGTTTCTTTGAATTCCATGTTTAAAGTTCACAGCTCTCCGCTCACCAAAGGTTTGAGGCCTCATGACAATACAGGTCTTGCGTCCAAATCACACCAACATTGACGTTCAGGATCCCATTGCGGGGCCGCACATTCTTCAATGCAATGGCCAATCCCGCAATATTTTGGATAATCAGGTGGTGGTTCCATCTTTGATGGGCACCTGATCCTTCCAGACTTTGACCAAAATGGCTACGAAGATCGAGCTACCAACCTTCGGCTAAAAGTCGTATGCAAAGTTGAACGAAGCTGTGTACACTACAAAATGGTGCTCTCGACCTAGCCATTTCCGAGATCCCAACCGATCAAGAGTACTACAAAATGCTGATCCCAACGTGCTATTTCAGTTACTCCAAACTGCGATCACTACAAAATGACCTTTACAAAAAGCAGTCTCTCGACGTCAAAAAGTACTTTATATAAAAAAACTATTTTATAGAGACCTCAAGGTCTACCATTTTATATAGGAAATTCTTACCGGGATCCATATTATAATATCGTCTATACTCCATCCCATCTCCCACTTTTTCGCTCCTTCCAGGCTTTCTCCACCGCCTCCACCGCCGGATACCGCATCCACGGCGCCTCGGCACGAGGAGCTCCACCGCCACGTGTGAGGAGCACCGCCTGGGCGAGCTCCTCGGCCGCCGAGCGGTCGTCGCTGCCTTGGGCGCCAGCGGTGACTGGGAACCGGGGCATGTGGGTTGGGTGACAGAAGGGGCGGAGAACACCAGCACAACCAGCAGCGGTCTCCTGCAGTTGGAATTTGGAATACCCTGACAGAGGAGGGTAACCCCGAAATGAAGGTCCAGGAAGAAAAAGGGGTTGGGAGAGGAGGTTTTAGGCGGGGGCTGCCTTGAGGAAAGCGGAGAATCTGTTTGGAGGATTGGGGTGGAGTGGGCTGTTTTAGGTGGTTGGGATTTAGTGGAGAAGGAGTTTCGCAATTGATCGGTTGATTGAACATCGCAATCAGTCGTAGTCGTCGTAGTCTTGAAGGTCTTGAAGGTTGACGATGATCTGCGCAAGAGATCACCCAAAAAAGAACTATTGGACGCCCCAAGTAGATGGACGGTCTGGGAGGATGGCGTACAGATCCTCTGACCATCTGTGCACCGTACAGGTCCGGTACGTCTTCTGAACACGGTGCCGGACGTGTGGTTGACCTGAGGTTCGACGTGTCTGGAACTGCCGGACTGCCGATCCATTGAGGGTGGTGGGCCATGAGGGGTCTGGGGCGGCAGTCCAGGCCCAGACAGGTCGTGTCTGGGGTACTCCAACATCTGACCGGCATATCATTGAGTGGTGAGTGGTGTGATCCGCAGTACGGTACGAGTACGAAATGGGTTGCCTTGACTTTACTTGAGAGTCTTGAGAGTTCAAACGGAACCCCCTGCACATCACTATTGTATAGGCGCAAAGGAGTAGATTCCGCCTGATTCAGCACATCTCTTCCACCACTTCGGTTTCACCACACCTCACCGCGTCGCACCACTGCATCCCACTGCATGAGATGATCAAAGCGGTGGAGACCCATTCATCGCATGTCCGTCGGGCCACACACCACGATGACCGAGCAGGAAGCTGTCACATGCTTCAGCGCTTCTCGAGCAAAGTCCCGTCCTTCCGACCGGCATTCGCAGCGGAGTGGTGCCGAGCCCGCGCGCGCGCGGTCTGGTCCGGATCGACCGGCGGTCGGCGGAGCACCGAGAGCTGTCTATCCAAAACAACTTGTTCCAACACGTTTGTGGCGTTCCACTTCCCAAACTTTGGTCAACCAGGTCACCAGTGGCTGACGGAAACCAACAGAAAGAAGAACATACCAAACCCAGGTGGACATCTAGCAGGGCCCTCTGGCCATGGGGTGTGCAATCGATAGCCCCTTAGAGGTGATTCGGCATGTCTAACCACCCCTGGCACAGGCTAAGAACACAAAACCTGCGTCGGGGCCCTGGTATAGCAGTGGAACATCAAGTCCCCTTAGCAATGGATCCCGGACGCCGCTTCGCCGGCCGTCCAGCGGTGTCCATCTCTCTCGTCCCGCCGGACCCTGGGACGAATTCAGAGGGTGGAAGGAAGGAATCAGAGTAGATCACAAAAAGCAATTAGGATGGCGTTATAGAACAAACAAATAGTCCAGATTATGTCCAATTGACATTTCACCATCTGGTTTGGAAGAGTTCCAATATGATCCAATATGTTCCAATCCAGAATCCAAAATTTGGGAAATTATAGTCTTCCACAAATCCCTCTGACAAATGCATTCTGGTGTTATTTGCGTTATTTGCCATAAACCAACCTTCACCACTGACTCTAGAGTGGATGTGGAATCTTCTTGCTTTTCGCATATACCATCTGGACTCACCATCTGTTCATCATCGATCGAGTGGATGTGGGATCTTTTTGGTCTTTGGACCATCTAGTGTGACAAACTATACAGTGATGGGCCATCTACAGTGGATTTCTGCCTCGAGAGAAGCCTCGAGAGATGCCCTGGTGAAGAATTTGGAATCTACCAGTGTCCCAGGGGAGATCTATTGCACTGCCTGGAATAACCATGGAACTGGAAAAAGGCCTTTGGATGACAATTTTCGGAATTCCAAAGAACCCTCTGAGATCCGCTGTGCAGGGACCCAGTTGCAGGTGGTGCACTGGTTGCCACCAGTGTTTTCCACCCTGTTGGAGATATCTAAGGGTCATCCGGATGGTCTAGGTATCTGACAAAGACCAGTTGCAGGCCCAGCTCAGTGAGAGATGTGATCTTGCAACTTCCATATCCACCTAAGCTCCTTCAAGTGGGCCTCCATGTGCTCAAAACTCTCCACTTCAAGACCATGACGGAAGAAATCCAATCTGGCAATATCCCACCATACGTAGCTTGATTGTACCAGGTTGAGCAGGGTTTTTGTTGTTCAGGACACCTCTGTGTGAACATACTGCTTGGAAAGCCCAAATCTCGCCCCACCGTTGGTGGGTTCTCTGCCAAATCACATACAACAGAAGAAGACTGGTGGATGGTTGCTGCCCCACTATTTTCTTGCACAACACTGCCCAACTTGTTTCCTCACTTGAAGCATCTTCCAAGTCTTCACACAGAGTGATCTACCTTGCGCTCCTTTCACTCTGGGCAAGTTTGGTGTCTGCGGTTCTTGACCAGAGGTTGGCATTCACTAGGTCCAGCACAGTCACCGTATAACATCAGAAAGTCCCAGACCTTCATTTGTCCTTGGCAGTCAAAGGTCGTCAGGCAATATATCATCCGCACACACCAGCACCATCCACCCACCCAAAACACCATTCACCCGCCCGCCCAAATCAGCGAATCCTGTGGTGGAGACACTCTCCTGCCGCGCAGATTTCAACACGCGTACGGAACGCGCATCCTGATCCCTGGTGTTCCTCAGGGTCCTCCGTGTTGTTTTTGGGTGAATTCCTCTTCACTTCGCCGAAGCCCCGCGCTTCGGCGCCCCTATGACTCCCAAACGGGTGCGAGAAAAAGGAAGCCCAAATCAATCCCCTTCGCAGCCCCTAACATGGACCTTAGAATTTGACGGTTTTCGACCGGTTGTTGGGGTTTCATGTGGTCCGAATAGCAGGGGAGGAACAGGCCATAGCCACGAACTGGTACCTAGCAGTGCGGGGAGGACGTCAACGAGTGGTGAAAGTCCCGTGCCTCTCATGCATCCTGTGGCTCGCACCCACTGCAGATGTTTGAGGTATGCCACTCTTGTTTTGTGGAATGACACACAAGAACAACGTGTGATAGTGTGTGATCGTGTGTGGGTCAGAGTGGGTCAACACTGAACATGAACCAAATGGCCTGCTGCAAATTCAGCAAAAGGGGCCCAACAAACACCTGGTGTCCATAGAACAGTGTCTAATCAACCGAAGGGGCCAAGGGCGCCTAAGAACATACTTGAAGGCTGTGAAGCATGTCTATGAATTTAAGAGACAATTTGATAGGTCTTGAAAGATGTTCACCTATTATTTGACTCTTTGGATGGACCTTTGATAATCATTAGTTACTTTACAGTAAACAAAATAATGATCAGGAATCAGTAATATTAATAATGGGCATACAAAGCACTCCACAGCACATATAAGTTACCCTGTTCCCACAGGGGCTCGTTTATGTGAGCCGTTTATAGGGAGTTCTGAGAAAGAAAAGAACCACCGATGCCGATGCACCCAAACCTATCAAGCGATCTACGGAATAGGCCAATACACATTCCTGGTCTTCAGAGTCATTCTGTGTGATTTCAACATAAATGTGTTCGTACCCAAAGACTCCAAATAGCGTGGTCCGTCAAACATGTCACATTCAGCTTTCGATGCTGACCCACCAACCCACCAGTACCTGACTCTCAAGACCATGATGGCCAAAACCCCTGCCAAACCTCCGCCACCCACTCTCCCGCCTCCCCCAACGCCAACCGTTCCCCCCATCGCCTTGCGATTGCCGGCCACCTTGTCGCCCCGGCGGATCTGCACAGCGATGAAGGACTCCGGCAAGCGCAACTCCTCGTTGAGCCTCGACCGGCATCCGGAGGGTCTCCGGAGGGTCGGAGATCTCCCGGTGGAAAACGCCCTCGATCTCCACCGTTGGGTGCGGTTGTTTCGCAGCGCCTGTTGCACCCGAACGGCGCAGCGCCTGTTGCACCCGAACGGCGCGGTGTGGCCGAGGGTCATTTGACGTTTTTGGGCGCGGCGGAGGAGTATGGTGGTGGGTGTTCGGAATGGAGGGCTGGGTGTTGGATACTCTCCCGGTGACTTACGTGGCAGCCTTTCGAAAGAGATGGAAAGACTATATATGTTAACTATTTCCATTTAATTCCTACACCAATGGAGGGCACTTCCATGTGATGTTTTCGTTCGTTCGTGTACTCGTACAGACACTCCAAGTATAGTCTTGTCGAGTCCTCCAGGGCGCCGATCAGGTGGGGGACGGTGAACTCACGGGATCAATGACTCTCAGCCTTCGCATGGCTTGTCATTTGACTCCGCACGTATACGGGTGCGGTCTTAGGTCTTGACCAACAGCGGTCACCCACATGGAGTGCTTTGCGGCCGAACCATGAACTGAAGTTGATCATGGTGCCATCCGCCAGCAGAGGGGTGCTCGACTGTCCTTCCTCGCCCTCCAGGGCGAGGAAGCGACTGTTCAGGGCTCTGGCTGCTCTGCTTGGAGAGACCTGCTTGGAAGGGACATCAACAACTCCCACACAGCCTAGCTTTCGGAAAGCTGCCCAGGTCGCTGCCTCCCTGATCAGCCCAGCTGTGCCTCATGGCCTTAGGAACGTTCCGGTATGGCCACTCCCACTCCAGTTCAGCAGCCTGGAGAGAACGGCCTCACAGGCCACAACAGGCCGCAACCATTGGTTGGTGCGAACCTTCGCGCAGTCTCAGAGTGAGCATAGTTCTAAAGAGCGGATGGACATGGCAGATGGAACATCGACTCACCCTGTTGCAAACTCAGGTATACTGAGGTGCTTGGAAGCGGCCACTCAGTTTGGACACGGATGCCGCACACGCAAATGTGTTGAGAGGGCCCAACAGGTTCCCATCGATCTCCAAACATCCTGGGAAGCGCGAAGGGGTGACAGTCCGTTTTTGGGTTTCACAGTCCGGTCAAACAGTCCGGAGGTGTGTGGTGACACGCTTGGGCAGCTGGCCCTGACCACACTGCGGAGCGCCGTGGAATGCCCCATGGGATTTCAGGAATGCACCAGAAGCGAACCGGTGAAGTGAAGCCAGGTTTTGAATCTCAAAAGCAGCTATTTAGAGTCTACCCGTTTACAGGTGACCAACAACTCGAAAAACACACACCCTCGCCCTTTCTGGCCATGACTGCCTACCCCCCCCGGGCCTCTCGATCCGTTTCTTGGTCTCGCTGGTATAGCGCCAAATGCGCCGCATGTACTTGGACCTCCAGCCGATGCGGCGCTCATTCCCCGTCGTCGATCCGCGACCGAACTCAGAGTGATGAGTCGTTCAAAGACCACACGAGAGGGGAGCACGACAAGGGGGACGTTCACGTGAAATGGCCGACATGCTGATCCTCTGTAGGTGGCTGTTTTAGCCACCAAACTGCTTTCAGCGATGTTGCGAGATTTGGGAATATGGATGAATATGGTGTTGGAATGATCCAAGCCAATCTAGTTGCCTGTTAGTCGATAACGAGCACGTAGAGCTCTGGACCAAAACAAAAAAACGACTTACCAAGCTAGGCAAAAACAAATCTGTCATTCCTGACCCTCTCAACATTTTTTACCCTTAGGATAGCAAACATGGGAAATTGCAAATGAACTATCTGCAAGTATCCCACTGAGCCAAAAGTCCAAAGACCAAAAACAAAAACAACGGGCGTTTCCTGCAGGAGGTGACAAAGGCTGCTCAGAAAGCAACCTGTTAGCATCCCTGAACCAAACTATACAACGTTCATAGTTGGATCTGCATGTAAAAGGAACATGGGACCCCGCAGCGGGGCAGGTGTTCTTTTTCTCCCCAAGTCCATGAAGTCTTGCAACGAAGACGCTTCTTGGCGAAGGGTACGCGACTGGCGTGCTTGCAAACGGCAAACCAACCTCCAAGCGGGCGCCGGTGATCTACTCCCAGCAGACTTGTCTTCCGATCGTTTTAAATAAATGCGTGTATACATAGTAAATAGACTACTGTACACACAACATTCTTCCCAACTTTTTCCTGGCAACGTCCTCATGATTTTAGCTACAGCCAAGCTCATTGGTAGAACGAATCCCTACTAAACGATGTCTTGGGTGCTCCATGGCCAAGTGGTTTGCTATTAAGTTCAACCACTCGACCTCGTTTGGTTTGATCTTTGAAACAGTGTACACATCCCAGGACAGTACCCAACTTCATCTCATGCCGATTTTCCGTCCGTCGGGCAGGCGCCTGGTGTCGCTACCCTCCGGTCGCGGCGTACATCGCAGGGCCGGCAGACCGCATGGGGGCAGCGCCGCAAAATCAGCGGCTCAGCCTGACCGGAACATGGGGAACCGCCAGGGCGTGCATTTCCCAACCACTCCATGGCACTGCCATGTATGCCTATTTACATTGACCCCCCAAACCACCCCAAGCTCTTTGATGGGTAGCAAAATACTCATAAGTTATAAGCGCTGCATGGAAGAAGGTCGTGCTGTGTTCTTTTAAACAGTGAAACCATGCTGTATCACCCCAGCAGGAACTTGCCTCCAAATAGGTGTGCAGCCGCCCAGAGTTCCAGACTTCATCCTCCACCACACAGGCCAGTCCGTGCTCCTGGGATCAACGACCAGGGCATCCTCCACGTAGGTCTGGGAGTCCAGCGTTCCAACCACTGGAGAAGGTGCGAACGCCAGTGCTTGTGGTTAAACACGAGTACTATTTCAAGCCACACCATGTAGAGGAAGGTAAGGGTGCTACCGTGCTACCTCCCCAAACTTGAGAACTTGTCCATCCCCTCTGGAGCCCGCGGTCTCGACCGCTCTCTTGTCTCGATGAGACCGTCTAGCCACGGCTTGCGGCTCGCGGCTCGCGGCCGCCCTCCTCGCAGGCGATGGCCGCCGAGACCAAGTTATTCACCTCCGAGCCAAAGCCCCGGTCCTGGCGAGCCGAGCAGGCGCGGGTGGGGTGGCCGAATGGGAGGGTGCGCCGCCTCGGTTCCCGGTCGAAAAGAACGCGCGGAAACGGCGTTTGGGGAAACCCCAGCCCCAAGTCTAGCATCGCATGCCGCGTGTTGGGCCATTTGGGTTGATCGGTCAGGAAACTCCCTGTACCCTCCTTACTTCCCCTGTTGAAGGCAGCTGGTTGGGTCCCTGCAAACCAGAAATGGACTGAAAACGGCAAATGTTAGCTTAGCTGCCAACTCCAAACATTAGCTTAGCTGCTGTGTGGGTTCTCCTTTAAGCTAACTCCACCCTTCTCGCTGGCAAATGTGTAAGACTTGGCAGTGTCATAACATTTGGCAGTATTCTTTGGCAGATCAATATAGTGAAAGGGAACTCCGGAGGCCGTGAGAAGCGTGACTATAGTGACTTCAGTGACTTCTGAACTCTTTCCAAAACACATGGAATCTGGATGCATCATGATGCATCTGGATGCACATTTTGCAAGCTTGCTCTGCTCTCCATGCCATTCCATGGGTTCCTCCCCATTGGTCCTTTGGCGCGTCGCGGTCTTCTTCGTCCACCTGAGGCGTCCCGGTCTTCTTCGTCCCGGTGGTTCGTTCTGTCGTTATGTCGGGGGGGGGGAGCTCTCCTCGATCCAGAAGTGCACGCAACTGAAGGCCCCGAAGTCCACGTCGGCCGCCTGGAGACGGATCGAGACTGAGAGGTAGGCATCCGCAGCTTTGGATCGAAGGAGATCCAAAGAGAGGGGAAGGACATGGCCAGAATGAAAGCCACAACTGGACCCAAACACCGGTTGCTGATGGTTGCCACCATGGGTGCTAACGGCATGATCTGGCCAGGTTCCCGGAGTTGCTGTTGTTCAAGGATGTTCGTTGTTGGTGAAACCGTTGGACGATTTTCCTGCCATGCCTGGAAGAAGTGGTTGTTAGCCACGACCGGAGGACCGGACTCTGAGGTCTACTCTGAGGTCTAACAGACTCGTGGGTGACCCTTCACCCGGGTTTCCAGGTCGGTCAAAGAGACGCATCTCCACCATCTTGGTTGGTACTTCCCATCTAGGTGTCAATGGAAAGAATTCTTCACCCTTCACCAAACAGGGGTCAGACTGGGGAAGAATCCCTATCACAGGATGTCGTTCTTCAAACATGGGACTGGAATGTTCCTATACGAGTATTTTAAGGAGGTTCACTAGGTCAATATGCCCTACATATCCTACATGGAGTGTCTGACGTTTGGCTATGGAAGATCCTTTCTTGGCTGGGCGCTCAAAAAAATTAATTATCGCTCAACATCAAGCAAAAACAGGGCCAGGGCAGAAAGCACCTCGTCTGTGGTCTTGCGGTCCCCTGTCAAAGAGATAGCAGTCCCCTGCCAGCATTTTGAGCCAGGAGTCACAAGGGGGGTGGTGTTTAGTTCCTAAGTGAGTGGATAATGGGCACCCCTAACCTCCACCCCTTTGTGACTGCTGGAGGTGGTATTCTATTTTGTCTATCTGATCGATTTATTTCGAGCTCAATACTTTGATATGGAGAGAGAGGGTCTTTGAGTGGCAGGTATTGAAGCAACCCCGGAAGGTTCATGCCAAACATCTTGAAGGGTGGTGCTGGCTGCCATGGCTGCCCCGTGGCTGCCATGGCTGTGCTCTATTTTTTACTCACTCATCGCAACTGGCTGGCCACGTCAACCGAAATGCCACCAAATCAAGTGGCCATCGGATTTAGGCCAAATATGGCCAAATGCCTGCCTTGCACTCAAGCAACTATAAGGATTCAACATAACAAAAACAAACAAACAGAACACACTCACCTGGAAAAATAAACTGTCCTCTTCAACAACATGCTGTGGTACATGTATTGATTCATGCTGTGTTGGGCGTTGCTCCAGTAGATCACCTTGAATTACCAGCGGTCCCCTTTCAGGGGAGTGCGGATCTGGAACACAGGCTTCCACTTTCCACCCCAGCCAGGGTTCATCTCTTTCATCGAACATCCAAAACGATGAGGGGGGTTCGCGTATGGATAAGTGTGCACGTCACACATCGTTGGTTGGGTCACCCGGAATCTCGCCCAGGCATCTTGACTCTCCCTCCAACAAACATGAAAGTGCATTCTGCACGGAAGAGAAGGGCATATTGGAGGATTATGATTCTCTACAAACAGGGGTGATGTACGATCCATTTTTTGCTTGGTCGGAGGGCAGTAATTCATGGACAAGCTCCATCACGGGCCATTGAGAGACAGGCCCCAGGTCTTTTGATGAACCGATCAACCCAGGAAAAAGACTTGCAGCTGGGTCCGTCCACATCTGGTGAACCGTGGTAAACCAAATGCCTTCACTCACATCTTCACATGAGTGAGATTGCAGCCCAGCATCATCCATCACTTAAAGACTGGTCACATGAACCATTTGATTCTTAAACCCCTCTCCCACACGGGCATGTACGGATTTTCCAACCAAATGAACACACACCCTGCAACCAACAAGGACGCAAAGGCTCGCTCCAACGGATCTGGGCCATCGCAGGGGGTCGTGTTCGGGAGTCCGAGTAGCACGACGCCGTCAACGAAGCTGAAGCCTACATGTTCGATGTGGATCATACCTTGAACCCCCCCAAACCACCCAAACAGGTGAGCATAACCATGGACCCACCATCTTCTTTATGTTTGGTGGTCGATGTCATGAACCCACCGTTTCTTGCCATATTGGAACAGGTGGGCTGGGTTTTTTCGGTGGGGAACATCCTTCAAACCTCACGAACTCCAAAGGCACGCGCGGTTTCGCGGGCGCGAAAACTGCCGTTTCGCTGCAGCGAAACGCCGCGGTGCACACGGCTCTCAGCTTGTGCTTGAAACAGCGGCCCAAAGGGGAAGCAGAAGATCTCAGAAGTACTCCGATCCAGTGCTGAGTATCAGATGGCTTCGACATGAAGGTCAGTATAATGCTCCTCTATTTTCTGAAATCATCCCCATCAGAAAGACTCCGAAACCATCTCCTCTGACTCTTCGTCCTCAGCCGGAATTTGACACCTCTGGACAGGTCACCTACACCACAGCCCCAAACCCAAACAATCCAGGGGGACTGGGGACTGGCATTTTTTTTGGCTAATACGGCTATACCCTGAAACCACACCCAAGGTAGTATAAATCATAGGTATATAGTTTATATGGATACTTATGGAGTGCATATATAGTGCATTAGTGTGGCCTACACCACTGAGATTCCCCGATGGATCCAACGAGTTTGGCCTCTTTCTGCTGCTGAGTTGAACGACCCCGAACTCTTCTTCGACCTCGAATTCCATGTTTTCCTCAGGAGTTCTGATAGTTCTGATCTGTAGCCTAAAATTAAACTCTCTCTTGGATGAAGTTGAGGTGCATCACTTGAGGTTCTCTCTGTCTTCCCTTTTAACCACTTTGAAGCCAAACAAAGAGCTGAACATCCATCTCACTTAGGGAGATGGGCTGCCTGCGCAAACACTTCCTGAGGTCTTTTTATGACCGAAGGAACCGTTTCAACCAGTTTCCTATCGTCCGAGACTTAGAGCCCTTCGAGACTTGGAGCCCTTGGTTTGCTTCAAAAAACCCTCCTGGATGGACAAACCCACTGGAGCCCTTGGGCCTCGCCACGTTGTCCTGAACTGCGAAATGGCGCGGCCCAGACACCTCCGATTCCTCGAAGAAGAGTTGGCTTGGAATGGCCGACACCGCGCGCGGCGCGGCCAGGAACTCTGCCGCGGTCTTGCCTTTTCGCGACGGTCGCGGCCAGAGGAAGAAGGGGCGAGGCGAGGCTGAAGCACAGACTGGTAAGAGTCTATAGTGGATGGAGGGTGAGGTCTACTGCAAGTGCTTGAAACTTGAATCTGGAAGAGTTTCCATGGATGACCGCTCATTGGTAATCTTTTCTTGGTGAATGCAAGCCACTTGGCCACTCTTCCAGAAATTCGAATCGACTTGGATCAGAGCAAAGTATTGTACAAGTAAGGGATAGTAGGGGTAGCTCTATAGCTCACGACTATGCCTGACACTGAGTGGGTTTTGGAAGCTCCTCAAACCAGACCTCCTTCCAAAACCAAGTTTGAGAGGAAATCCGCGGTCCGCGGATTTCACCCCAACATCCAAACTCTTGCATGAATCAACTCTCGAACCCAACGGTCCCTGTCTGGCCCCTCTCATGGCCCTCTCCTTGCCTCGCGAGTTCCGAAGATCCACTTGGGCTCCCGCGGCCAGGAGCACCGACGTGGCCTCGAGGCCTCATGCCCAAGGCATCGAGGCGTTTCAGGGGTTCAAAAAGCCAGCGTAAGGCTTTTCTTTCTTTTCTTGTCGCGGAGCTGACAATGTCGGCTGGCGATCTCCAAGCTATCCATCCATCCATCCATCCATCGATCTATCTATCCTTGTCTATCATTATCTATCTATCTCATGTCATCTCACGTCATGTCAATTGATTTCACACTATATTGTACATACAATTCCATTACATATATACCAGCGATTACCAGCGCCTTCCCTCCTCCTTAAGAGACCTCGAATAGACTTGCCTATTCACTGCACTTGTGCACTTGTCGATCTCCATTGAACACCCCATTGACCAGCTCCAGTTCTATTCCTCCAACAGGTTGGACCCTGTGGGATACCTGTGGTCCTCCAAGATCTCCAAGATCCAAGGGAATCGATTGAACAAGTGCAAGATGTCCAAATCCAAGGATCTAAGATGATCTAAGTTTGTGAGTTCCACTTCCCCAGACAAGCCCAAGTTAAAGGAACAATACAAAAAACAAAAACACATCGAAAACAACCAAACACAAGAGAGCTCAATAAAACGAAAGACAACACATTCACACTCAATGAAAAAACAAATCAATCTTGGTGTTGTTCAGTTTCTTTGAGTCTGGATTTGCTTTATTTTTAGTTTGGATTTGTTGAGTTCGGTTGTTTTTCCTTGCAAAATAGAACTATACACAAAACTGAGACAATAAAACAAAAACACATCAAGCCTCAAAGAAAACAACAAACATCAACAAACAATATATTTTTGTTTGGTTTGCTTGTTTCTTGAGTGTTGCTTTGTTTATTATTGTGTTTTCCCTGAGTCTGGTTCTGAGTCTTCCTTTTTGGTTGAGTCTTCTGCTGAGTCTCCTTTTGATTATTTGTTTTATTGTTAATTGTTTTTCAAGACACGAGCTCCCAGCGTATAACCCCTCACAAATCTAACTATTTATTGATCTCCAGATTTGGCTTGAGAATCTTAGAGAATATGTTTATTGATCACCATCTCCAGTTCCTGTCCCAGCTCCCAAGATTTCCGGTAACAAATCTGCATGGTCCGAGGGTGGTAGACGGAATTGATTTCAAACGTGGAAAGGAGTGGTCAAAGGTAGAAATCTGTAGATTGGACGCGCGAGACCATCATGAAAACACAACTTGCTCAAAAAGGGATTTATTTTTTGTGTTGAATATACCAGATTGACTTGTTACATGGGTATAGTGTTTCAATAGCATTCCAACCACCATTGATTAATAGCCTTTGCCGAGCTTTACTAAGCTCTTAATGGTCTTTGAAGGCTATATTAGGGTTTTTGGAGAGTTCTTGTGCAGTTCCTCCCTTGAAGTCCGGTGGCCTTGATCTCGTCTTAAAGGTCTCAACTCTATATGCAAAGCCGAGACCAAAGTGCTCTGCCCGACACATACCCAGCACCTGATTCGACTTCAGGGTCTCCTGACTCGACTACCCATCTGCATCCGGTGCCTCTGACTCGGTGAACCAAGTCTGTTCACACAGAGTACTCCGAGTAGTGAGTAGTATGATTTTCTAACATGAGAAAACACATACTAGATTCTATGCACTTTGACAAGTGTGAACAAACATATATTGGCTGTGAGTCATGGCACACGGAGACCGACCGGTTGACCTACGGGCGTTGGTCCTTCCCTACATGATGGACTGCTCGGGCTCCAAATAGAACGACCCATTCCCAAATGAAAAAACACTCAACGATGGTCCGCATAGGACTCAGTATGACTCGGTAATGGCTGAGCTATAAAGATGAGGCCGGGGGTGAACAAGACATCGCTGGCCTGGCACAGAACCCACATCTTAAGGCTTTGATTAGACCTTTTGAGTAGAAGATAGTAGAAGTACCACAGCCCGCAACCCAGTAACACTAGCAGAAGCTGATCAAATGCGATCAAATACCGCTTCTGAAGCCGCTTGTCAAACTCGCGTTTGGGAGGGGAAAAGGCTACACAGCCGCATCCCAACCGAATGGCCTCCATATGGAAATTCCCTCACATGGCCACACACACATACCGAAAAAAAAAAAAAAAAAAAAAAAAAACCATGCCCTGAGAACACTCTCCCTCTCCTTAGACTCGTCTAAGCAAGAGGCGACCGGCTAAGATGCTGAACATCAAAGGGGTGGCGTTGTCGGAGTGATACGCCAGCCAGGTCAACCGTGAGGGTCTTACACCTTGGCTGTTGCAACCATTCAGCGCGGAAAGAGGTGCGTTTTCCTTCTTAAAATGCGCGTGTTTCTGTGTTGGATGACGTGGCGCCGTTGCTGGGTCCGGAAGAGGAGGACGAGCATTCTTGGGGATACATCGGACCAAATCAGAGGAAAATGGCCAGATAGATTGTGCATAGATCGAGGCTATCCAGGCAATCCGTTCTGTGAAACCCAACAAAGGTTCCAGTGGAGGTCATTGCGCCATTCTCTGGGAAATAGACCAGATATCACCTGGGTATGAAATATATTGAAATATGTATCTGTCTGGCTGTCGTTCTTGCACAAGAACACACATGAACACACTGATTGGTGTCTTGGTCATCTCTTGACCGCTGGGGTTGGACACGTGCACCCCCAAAAAAAACACGTATGTTTGCAGCAAGAGTCATCGAAGTAGTGAACCTTAATGACCAGCTAAATGCAAGCTATATGTGTGGTGTCACCCTGTCATCCACCACGGGGCGGACCGAAGTGGACCTCTCATGGATGATCGTTTCCGTTGCGTAACACGCGAGAAAAAACATACATGCGAGATCATTCGATCAGCATGGGAAGCAAACATGCACTGACACGTCATGTTCCCAGCAAATTCAGTTACATCCAGTTACCATGTTATTCTATTATGGATTACTATAGCATAGAATAGCATTTTAAACTATAAGTGTAAAGGTGCACATGAGCAAACAAAAACATCCGAGTTGCAGGATCCCTTCCTTTATACAGAACGACGTGACCTGCTCTCTTCGGATCTCGTACCCGATCGACGGTGTCACGAGGTTTCGCCCGGCAGGGTGCGGTGGGTCCAACTCAGGAGAGTCCATGCCAGCCACAAAGTTCTCTTCTCCTGCACCGAGAGTTTGAAGCGCCTGGGAGCAAACGTCGTCGGGGTGACACCCCGAATCACCTCGAAATTGGCGGACCAGGACACCCCGAATCGTCCTCGTCCGGGTCATGTGTTCTACGGTCTTTTCGGTCTTCTCCAATTGGTCCCGATTGCCCACCGAGTGGATGCCTGACCTACCTTTCGACGTCGAAAGCACGGAGAAGGGAGCATGGGACGGACCTTTGTTGTACACAAAAGGGATCAAAATACCTCAACCAATGAGTTGTATGATTATGATATGATTTGATTATGAGTTGTATGAGCTTATATATGAGTTGATATGATTTGTAATTGATGATATGTGCTTTGCAGGTTATATACAGTAGTCAAATTGGAGCTGGCTTGCCTTTCTTCCACTTCTCACTGCAAACCCCATCCACGTCTTTCCTCCTCCTTTCTGCATATCAACTTCCAGGGGTTGCGCAAGAACCAATGGTGTTCGGGCCGGAGGGCACTTCTATTCGTAGGCAGTGCATGATCAATTAGCCGCTGTTATGTGCGGGATGGGATCCCATTTGCGTCGGTGTGGCGAGCTACATGGTACACCAACAGAATCAACTGAAATGAATCAGTGATCGGTGGTCATTTAAGGTTCACCATGTTTTTGTTCACCAACCAACCCAAAACCAACCCAAATTCAACCCAAACCCAAGCAAACCAAACCAAACCAAACAAACCTAAATTAAACCAACACGACCCACCCAACCATCCAACAGCAAGGATGGCTACACACGTGCACACGCACACATTCAGTTCGTCTATGGCAAGCTGAAACGACAGCTTGCCCAAAATCATCCATGAGCATTGGTGAGCATCCGCTGAAACAACGGGAACCACGAGTGGTTGGTGGTTTCAATGAACCAGACACATACCAGGACCCTCCTGTCGGGGTGTCCTGGCTGGACTAATTACCTCACAACTACCAAAAAAGGCTTCCAGACAGGGCACCCCTTGGATGATCCTGGTATGAGTGCAGGTGGAAAAAGGCTTTTCTTGACCTTGGCCTTTCCGGGCCAGCGGGATCTGGGTGACTTTTGGTTCGGAACCGTCAGACGTCTGGCGTTCCCCAAAGCAACGGAAAAAAAACCAACACGATTAGACAGGGAACCAACGACATGGCCGGCTTGAACCTCTTAGACAGGGTGTGGCTGGGCGACCCAGCCACCCTCTCGAAAGCACACCCAGAGAGGATGCTCTTGGGTCCTGTTCTGATCACAGGTGCTGTTCGTCTACCTTGTTTGACACAACGCTCTCACCCGCAGATCCACAGCCCACCATCCGCCCGATCGAGCTCGTTCGTCCAAGTGGCTCGTCCAAGTCCGCCTTGGCTTCCAACAAGAGGGACACGGTGCTTCGGTCGCCAGAGAGGAGGCAGCAATAGTGCAGGGAGAATCGCAAGCCTCGGCGTGGGATTTCTTCGGCTTTCCCGGGCTTGAAAAAGACCACCCGTTTTACTTGGAAACCGAAAACAGAAACACGTGTTGCTTTTTTTTTCCGACATTTGAGTGCCAAAGAAACACGGTTTCAGAAGTGCGGTAGAGTTAAACATGGTTAATTAAACAATCCCAAACACTCCATGTATGGCATATGTTCATACATTGGGCTGGTTTCAGGGGTCAATGTATAGGCATATATATACCGTATACATGGTCAATTACGCAATTCCACAATTCCACCTTCCACCTTGCAGCTCCCAGCAAAGCAGTCTATCGAAATCATGTTCACTGACGTTTCCGTGGATTGACACATGCCTGGGAATGTTGATGTCTGGCGAAGGAGGGAACGCCCCAAGTTCCGTACCAAATTTAGAGAAAAAAACTCCTACCTCGTTGGTCCTCACATCCTTCGAAACTTCTTCAAGCAGAGTCTTGGTTGCAGGAGACGGTGACGGCGCATCCTCCCCTCCGTCGGGTCTGTCAAACACCGGCGACCACTGGTCGGACTGAACTGGTCGGATTGGATGGGGGCGGATGGCCCACGTCTCACGGCGAGGAGTCAGGCGGATTCTGATCAGAAGGCTTCTGCTTCATGACGGTCCAAGAGGGTCCAGGTCACTAGAGTCTCAACTAGTACCAAGTCCAGGTCATTCCAAACATGGTTCCTTCCAAGAACAACACATGCACACAAACAAACTGGACATCCAAACAAAAGGCACAGGTTCATAGACTCCTTTAGAGATGCTTATAGAGTCTCTATGATCTTCCAAGGAGGAGGAGTTCTTTGCTACATGAGCTCCGCTAGCTCCGGCTCCAGTCCGATCAACATCAGAGCCCGGAGACGCCTGAGGCTAAATGTCTGGCTTCGAACTTGACCTTTCTTCCTTTCTGTTTTTGTTTTTAATAGCCAAGGCCTCCCTCTACTAGTGATGGCCTCCAACCTAAGAGCGTCCCTTCAGGCGAGGCCAATAGCTTCATCAGAGTCAGGAGACTTAGAGGCATCTGCGCCAGCATCTCCTTCATGCACGCGACACTGCCTTTGATGCCTCAGTTGAGGGCCGTCTGTCTCTCTCCGAAACCTCTCGAAAAACACGGACGGTTTCGGGACTTGTTAGAAAGAGTGCATGTGAGCAAAAGACAGAGCCGCTACAGCCACATTTGGGTGTCTTTGGTGGTGAATGTAGAGGTCACTTTACACATGGAGCGCTTGGGACATTCAACCAGCTTAGCTTTCAGAAAGCAAAGACTGACACTAAAGGGGGGCAACAAAAGCCTTCCCAGGGTGTTGAACAACTTGCTTCTGTCCCACCCACATGAGAAATCGCCCAAGCAGTGAAAAAGACACTAGGAAAGGCTTACCCAGCATCTATAGTGCTCTCCTGGCCCTCAGAAGAGACTGACCCCTGGACACTCTTCACCGGACAGCTTCGGCCGCAGGGTCTTCAATCCACTTCTCCCAAGCGTAGGGTGTGGGCCCCTCCGTAGGCGGAGAGGCGATAGATGGCGATAGATGGCGATAGCCTTTCCCATGGTTTGGAGGGGCCTGGAGAAGGCCGCATCTAGGCCATGTTATAAAAATCCACTGTTGCACCACTTTTTCCTCACCACTTTCTAATCACTCTTTGCACTTGGCGAACTGGCCCTGATTTCAAACTCCCCGAGCTGGAGTCCAGAACTCGGCTTGCGCAGGGCTCCAACATGACCCACGAACAGCGGGAACCGGGCGACGGAGGGGTTTGCGCGACGGTTTGGGCGACCGTTTTGGTCCTCCAAAGGGCAAGCCAGTTGAAAGGGGCTAAAGCCCACCGCGAAGTCCAGGTCAACGTCACAGCGCGCCTCTAAGAGTAGTCGAACCTGGTCAGCGAGGGAGGGAGGTCTGATCCACGTACCGGTGCTGGTACAGCAAGTATACAGTACAACTACTCAGTCTCTGTCGCTTTTGTATCATCTTGGATTTGCTGTTCTTGTTCACCTTGAAGAAGGTAGTCATCATTCTCGGGACCAGGAATATGGACCTCCTTTCGAGCCCACAAACCCACAAATCACTGAGTCAGTCAACATGCCAGGAAATATAAAGAAACATGAGCAACACATAACAACACAAATCACAGGTGGTTTTGCGAAGATTCCTTCGATAGGGGATTACTATGGATTGCTAAACTTGTACATCATGTTGGGTTCACCTGCTGGCTTTGAACATGATCGGATCATTACGAAACAGGTCTTCATGAATTCACCAAGGATCAACAGCATTTGCTGCTGGGGTATCTCCTTTTGAGGTGGAGGCCATCGCTAGTAGGTTGGAGGCCATCGCTACTAGGGTGGAGGCCATCGCTAGTAGGTTGGAGGCCATTGTTAGGGTGGCCATCGCTACTAGGGTGAGTAAACATGCGTGAATACCCATGGGCAGCATGGATAGCCATGGCATGGATAGCCATGGTCTCCCAACGTCACGGCGCCCCTGATCTGCGCCGCGCGGCCGCTACACCATTGTTGGCCAAGGCTGTCCAGCAAAGGCTGTTGCCTCCAAAGGCATCGCCTCGCGATGCGGAAGAATGGTGACGGGTTGATCAAACACACTACTCCCCCTACATGATCAAACCAATACACCCTATGAATGGTCAAACAGTAGTTGATGAAACCAATCAACACGCCCAAAGTAGTTGATCAACACCCTACTTGGTCTACTATGGTCATGGTTTGATCAACACCAACCATCACCTACCTATCCATGGCCCAACAAATCCATCTCCTTCAAAAGGTTCCTGGTTTGATGCTTCCACCGGTCCACAGCTATCGCTGGGGCCCTGGGCGGCCAGTCCCCTGAGGCCATCCTGTGGGTCCCGAACCGTCCAAGTGGACGGAACCGGACCCGTCCTCCGGGCACCCGTCCTCCGGGCACCCGTCCTCCGGTGCCCCCAAACCCGGAAGCGGAGAGATCCAGCTGGCCTGGCCAGATCTCAACAACCACCTTATTATATGACTCGAGTCCTATTGGACCGTCATGTGTAAAGTGTATAAAAGATAATGTGTATTAATGTGTTCTTTTCATATGGGGATTGCTGTAAAAGATCATGTTCTTTTTCATATGGGGATTGCTCGTTCCACCTGGAGCCCGAGCCGTCCACCATCATGTCGCGAACGCCTGACACCAGGTCAAGCAAGGTATCCTAGTTTTGACCCACAAACATATTGGATTGTCCAGGATGCTGTGTATGGATCTGTCAACTATACTATACCCTCCCAGGCAACGAATACCAGGTCTAAGCTAGGCGTCGCTGGACTCCTCTTTTGAAAAACATGATGATTCCCATACCAGGACCCCACAACAGGTCACCAATTGAGACCTGTTAGGGCCCAAGAACCCTCAACTAAAGTCCTGGCAGTGAGGGTATATACCGGTATGTTGACATGAACTGTCGACAGGATCGCCCTGCAGGCATTGGACATTAATATATATATATATATATATATATTGGACATGGCCATGTTCCACACCTGTGGTCATCTTCTCTTGAGCCCAACCTGTTTCTTTCAACACGTTTCAACAAGTCCTCTCACTCTTGGCCCCTGGCCCACGAGTTTCAGCTCCTTTCTAATCAGAAAGGTTTCCCAAAACTTGGGATCTGCAGTCCCCCCCGCAAACCAAAACATCTCCTAAACCCTGGCGCTCCATGAGACTGCACCTGACCTGGCCTTGTAGGGCTCCTTGCAATCCTACAATGAGTCATGTGCATGACGAACTGGTGCTTGACTCAAATGTAGGACTTGTCTTTAGGACTTGTCCCAGACAGGTCGCGGGCAAACGAAACACCTCTTCCCCAGTTTTGGGGAGTCACCTCATCCAACCAATCCCAACACCCGGCGAATCCGGCGCGCTGGCGCCATGCACCCCGCGCGTGCACCGTGGCGAGCGGCGCAGGTTCACATCTGCCCGTGCGCTCAGCAGGAGCTTGACGGCCTCAGTGACGAAACAGATAGCTACCGCCCTCCAAGAGGTCACCACCTGGGGATTTGTTGAATCTCCAAAAACTGGAGACCTTTTTTCGAGTCAGGTGTTGGTGTGTTGACTTTTGTTGAAACGACATGCTGTATAGTATATATATATATATTATATTACAATATATGCTACAAAGGCATTGAACG